GAGAGAGAGAGAGAGAGAAGAGGGCCTCACTGTATGGCCCTGGCTGGCCTCCCCCTCGTGGTCCTCTGGCCCTAGCCTCCACAGTGCTGCAGTTACAGATGTACCACCACTCATAGCTAAAACCCATCTTTTCACCCATAGCTGTGGCTTTGTAGGCCACCCTAAAAGTTCTAGAAGATATCCCACGTCATCACTGACATAAAGATGGAGTCCCCTAAGGTAACTTCTTTGGAGGCCCCATATATTTAGGTGAGGGGAATACATAGGTATATGCTTTATTATTATTTTTTTTTATTTTGTGTATTTAGTACAGGGTCTCACTACACAGATCAGACTTGTAGTGATTCTCCAGTTTTCAGCCTCACAAGCACTGGGATTACAGGCGCGTACCACCCCCCCAGTCTCTATTGCCAGTCTCAGTGTGCCCTGGGGGCAGGGCTGGCATAGCACTCTGGGGATTGAACCCTGGTCCCTGTGTGTGCCTAAGCAGGTGTTTTAATACACTGACCTATCTGGCTGGCCTTTATTTTATTTTATCTATTTCTGTCCTTTTTTTTTGAGACAGGATCTCACTATGCAATTCAGGCTGGTGTTAAGCTCACTTTGTAGCTGAGGCTGGTCTCAAACTTACAACGATCCTCCTGCCTCAGTTTCCTGAGTGTTGGGATTACATCTGTGCACCACCACACCCGGCCACGTGTTGAATTAACTTTTTTTTTTTTTGGTACTGGGACCATGCGTTTGCCAGGCAGGCACTTTCATTGTTCTTGGAAACCTACTTCGTAACTTGTAATAAAGAAAGCCCTAGTCAGGGCTATCCACAAAGCCTCCCTCAGGGCCTGGGAGATAGCTCAGTAGAATATATTTGCCTGGCAAGTGCGAGGGCCTGAGTTCAATCCCCAGTTCCACCAAAAAAAAAGCTGGGGCCTGCCCATTAGCTCCGTTGTTTAAGTGCCTGTGTAAACAAAGCAGTCAGGCTCAGGTGCTATGGTTCGAACGCAGACACTCATGCCAAACCAGAAATGCCCTGAAGGCATCTTGAGGCTGCCAAAAAAAAAAAAAGTCCTTCTTCCAATAGGGGCTGGGGAGATGGCTCAGTGGAATAAGTGCTTCCCTGGCAAGCGCAAGAGCCTGAGTTCAATTCCCAGTTCCGCAAAAAAAAAAAAAGCCTCCCTCAACACCCAAGCCACTTTCTACCTATATCTCCTCCAACCGTTGGAGATCTAGGGATGGGGAACAGTGAGGCAGAGAACACTTAACTGAGATCCAGGCTGGAAACAGTTACATGTGCGCATCTAAATAGCCAGCTTCTTCAGCTTTAGGGCCAGGGAAATGGCTCAGTAGGACCAGAGTTCAATCCCTGGTCCCACACAAACACAAAAAAAGCCAGCTTCCACCTGCCCTCTTGCCTGCTTACCCTCTTGCGTGCTTATAGGACCCAGAGTCCAAGGCCGAGGTCAAGCAGCAGAAAAACAGCTCAGAGATTTCTCCACAGGCCTTGTCTTAGTTACTCTTCTCTTGTTGCTAGGACAAATACCTGACACTCAAAATGAAGGAAGGAAAGGTTTATTTAGCTCACAGTTACTGGAGGTTTCAGTCCATACTCAGCTAGGTCCAACGCAGAGCAGCACAGAGCAGAAAGCAACCTTTCATGGCGGCAGCAAAGAGCAAGAGCGCAAGGGAGAGATAGCAGCAGCTCAAGCAGCTAGCTTTTCTTCCCTCCTTACATTGTCATGCAAATTACCTGCCCCAGGGTAGGGGAAGTACTCACACCTATGGGTACCTCCCAGTATTTACCCACCTATGGGTAATCCCAGCAGTACTAAAACCCATAATCCCAGCCTTGGATCACACATAATCCCAGTGGATCATGAGTTAACACAAACTCTAGAAGTCCTCACCCCATGACTGCATGAGGCTTTGGGGGGACAACTAGACACAAACCATAACAGGCCTCTTCTCAGATCCACATTGGCCTTGCTGAGGGCCTGGAGTGGGGCCATGAGTGGTAGGACGGAGCAGCAGTGAATCTTGCCTTGTAGCAGCTGCCTCCTTGGCCTGGGCCAAGTGCCTGCCCACAGTGGGTAATAGCCAGATAGCCCCAGCCCCAGCCCTACCTGGCCCTGCTCCGTCACCCTGGTACCCCTTCCTGGCACCGAGACTCCCCTCCCTGCTAGCCTTTGCCTACTGTCCCACATCATGTGGCCCAGGTCTTCCTCACTGACCTCTGCTAGGCACAGACCTCCTGCAGCCATCCCAGGAATCTCTAGGTTGAGCCAGACTCCCCAGGGCCAAGGCTGAGGCTCAAGGAACTGGGTCGCTGCTTCCCCTTGACTAGCTGGGACTGGGAAGATTTGTGACGGCCTGGAGCGGCAGGCGTGGTGGGCTGGAACAGGCTGTGAAAGGTGGAAACAAATCATCTTTTTTATTGGCAATTTTCACAGGGCTGTTCCCTCCCTCCCCTCCTGTCCCCGACAGTGTCAGGCAGTTCTGATTAAAAGTACTAGATGATCCTGCCCTGCTCTCAGTTGTCATTGTGGGAAGACGTCAGCCTGGCTTCTAGTGGGTCACTGTGGAGTGACTTCTTCCTCCTAGGAGCCAGGATTGTGTTGGACCCCAAGGACACAGTGGAGGTCCGCAGCCTCCCCACCCCAGGAGAGCCCTGAGCCTCTGCTGGAGCTGGCAGAAGCTGACCTCCGGGCACTGCTGGCCCACCGTTCTTCAACTTGTCTGTACTGCTCACCACGAAGTGTCACATCTTCCCATGGCTTTACCTGAGGGACCGGGGCACAGGCTGGAGGGGCTCTGAGATCTGTTCTGAAGAGAGACAGCAGGGGCTTGTCAATTCCAGAATGGAGACAGGGACCCTAGTGGTCTCTGAGTAGACCACCAGTAGCTGAGTAGCTAACTGTGGCAATTCTGGGAAAGCTGGATAGTAGGTATCCAGTAGGCCAGAGAGCCACAGAAGGATCTAGAAGTGCCAGGGATCCTTGTCCTTAGGTCCGCAGTTCTTCCTGAACACTGCTGGGTGTAGGCAGCCTGCTGCGTGCGGGCTTGGCACTCCGCCACCTTCAGGGAGCATGTTCTGGAGGACAGACTGGCAGGCCAGTGTCCAGGTTGGCAGAGGCAAGAGGAGGGCCGTTGTACAAGGCTACTGGGTGAAGCCAGACACGGTGGAAGCCCTCATTGCTCTGAATAATGTCACAGGTCCCCCTGCCTGTTCCACCAGGCCCAGGAGAACAGAGCCCTGTGCCAAGGCCTCAGCCTTGGTGGAAGCAGCTCAGCACTCCGCAGTCCTCAGCACTGCCCTGTGGTGCCCCTTCCCTGGAGGGACCACTGGCTGCTCCTGCCTGCTGAAGTACCGGGCACTCCCCTCTGCGCAAATCCCTGCCTTTTTGCTCTCAGCAGATCCTGGCAGAGGATACCTCCTTCCAAATGTTCTGTGCCCTTCTGCCCTCTGCCCTCCGCCAGGCAGACATCCTAAAACCAAGGGGGGAAGAAGGAATGGTGTGCAGACCCAGCCTGCTCCCTGCAGGAGCTGGCAGAGGCCTTGAGAGAGCCCTGGGGCTGGGGGCCGCGAGCTGGTCACGCTCACCAAGGCCAGTTCACCCTGCTGATCACCCCAGCACCTCCCTGCTCTGGGACATGCCCAGTCTCCCCCTCCACTGGAGAAAGAAAGAGAAAGAACATGGAGAAGGATGCACAGGACCCTGATTACTTCCAGCAGCGCTGTTGACCCGCCCCAGAACATGGCTCTGGAGTTGCATGAATCTACATTTAAAGATTCTTTCCCCTGTGCCTCTGGGCCCCACACCAGACCCTGGCGGAGGGAGGGTAATTCTGTCCCCTCTGGCTCACTACCCTGTCTTGTTTTCCAGCTTTCGCCATCATGATCGTGTTGGCCCTGGTCCGAATCGGGAAGGGGCAAGGGGAGGGGCGCCCACCCCTGGCTGACTTCTCAGGGGTCCGGAACCTGTTTGGGGTGTGCGTCTACTCCTTCATGTGCCAGCACTCCCTGCCCTCCCTCATCACCCCCGTCTCCTCCAAGCGCCACCTCACGCGCCTAGTGTTCCTGGACTACACGCTGATCCTGGCCTTCTACGGCCTCCTGTCCTTCACTGCCATCTTCTGCTTCCGTGGAGACAGCCTCATGGACATGTACACACTCAACTTTGCCCGCTGTGATGCCGTGAGCCTGGCCGCTGTCCGCTTCTTCCTGGGCCTCTTTCCCGTCTTCACAATCAGCACCAACTTCCCCATCATCGCTGTGACCCTACGCAACAACTGGAAGACGCTCTTCCACCGCGAGGGCGGCACATACCCGTGGGTGGTAGACCGAGTGGTGTTCCCCACTATCACCCTCGTGCCCCCTGTGCTGGTGGCCTTCTGCACCCATGACCTGGAGTCCCTGGTGGGCATCACAGGGGCCTACGCGGGTACTGGCATCCAGTATGTCATCCCTGCCTTCCTGGTATACCTCTGCCGCAAGGACACTGAGCTGGCCTTTGGCTATGGGACTGTCAACAAGCACAGGTCCCCATTCCACCACACATTCTGGGTGGGCTTCGTGCTACTCTGGGCTTTCTCCTGTTTCTTCTTTGTCACAGCCAACATCGTCCTCAGCGAGACCAAGCTCTGATGGCAGGACATCCCTGGTAACTGAAGATTTCGTTGCCACCCAGGCCTTCGCGGAGGGCAAGGCAGGGGCTCTCAGGGGGCCTCCTCAGCAGGAGGTCTCCCTGCCGCAGGACTGCCTGATCCGCACCTGGCCTAGCTTACTGGGGCCACATGTGGCCACTCCCAGATTCTAGAAGGTACCCTTCTGTTTTACACTCTACCCCTACCTCTGGAGGCAGGCTCCTCCCTCTGTATGGTAGAAGAGGCAGACTGGCACTGCCACTATTTATAACAGGCCCCTGTCCCTCCCCATCCTTCTCAGCCCCTCCTGCACCCTTGTGTGTCCACCACTAGCAGCTGCTGCCTCTTCGGGGGCCAATCCCAGGCTATAGCCATCCTAACTCAGCCTGCCTGTGACAGGCAGGGCCCACCTTCCTACCAAGCCTGAGTTGCTAAGTACTGGTCCTTAAGGTAAGCCTGGCCAGCCCCAGTGATGAGAAGAGGGAGCGCTAATTGGCACCAGGGTCCCCAGGCCAGAGTGTGAGGCCCCTTGCTGTGGGTGCCAGCTCTGGGCAGCAGGAAGATGGCACACGCATTCTGCAGGACACACAGCAAGCTGTAAGCTGTGGCCGACGCAGGGGAGGTCAGGCCTCCCGAGCAGAAGCCCAGCTCGCTGCCATGCTCTGCTCCAACACCAGAGGTGGCCCCCTCAGAGTCTGTCCGGAGGTGCTCAGTGGTCACATGCTCTGTGACACTGGACAGAGCCCAGTGGGTTGGACAAAGCCCCTGCCACCTTTCCCATGGCAGAAGGCCAGGTGCCACTCACCTCTTCCTCAATCACGCATGCACCTACTGGGCCAGTCACCTTGGTACCCAAGTGGCCAGTGAACTACATTTTCCATGTGCCTTCTGCTTTGGAGCTGGGGATCCTTCCTGACCCTGACTTCCCCCAGCCCCGGGCCTGGCCCCACCCATCCTGGAGTGTAGAGCAGCTTGCTTCGGAGCTGCCTCTGGGGATATCAGGGGCTCAAGCCCCTGCCCCTCCCTGTTGATTTCAGTGCCTTGCTCACCCCTTGTGCGGGAACTTTCACCTCCTCCCTTCAGTATCTCAGCATCTTTATTAAAGCTTGGACAGCAGGTGATGCGGGGTGTCCTGCGGCCCAGGGCAGATTGTGGGATTTGCAGGAGATGTGGGCTTTGCAGGCAGCACCCCTCCACCTCTGGCCCTAGCATCTCCACCTCTAAGAGTCGTGGGTGACAGTTGACTTCACTGTTTTGTCACTACTGTCGCATGCCGACTGTTCTCATGGCTTTCCGCTCGTGGCACCAGCTTCCACCCATGTGAAGAGAAACTCCCCTTCCCCATCTGCCACTGTGGCATCTTTCCAGGACACCGCGCCCTGGAATGCACGAAGAGGCCAGTACCATGATGGCGAAGCCCGGAATGACAAAGACCTGCCTGGCACCCTGTGCTTGGGCTCTCCCTGAAGCTGCCCAGCTGTTTGCTGAGAACTCAATTAAAACATCTGTACTTACTCTTCTCCAATTATATTCCTTCTTGCTTAAGGACAAAGCAAATTAAATCATCCTGCTGCCCCAGGCTCCAAACCAAATTTTGGATGCAAATTGATTAGCATCATAAAGCTCGGGTTGATTTATGTGACAATCTCAAGCCAGCCCTAGTGGCTGAGTTCCCCTCCACCTCCCAGCCGGCAGCCCCAGCCCTGGATGGAACTGGCCCAGGGTGACCACGTCTCTGATGCCAAGCTGGGGCCCTTCCCGGTACCACTGTCTTTTCTCCTCTATCTCCACCTGCTGTCTGTTCTGCGAGAGGTCATGTGAGGTCGCCTTGTTCTATACCACCAGGCCTCTGCCACTGATGCAGCCAGGCAGGCTAGCGTAAAAAGAAAGAACCCTGATTAGCTAGATATTGGGGTGATACCACATATATTAACCCTAGTCACCTGCACGTTTTTACATCAGTTTGATAAAGATGGGCAAGCTAGGTCATGACTTCCATTTGCAGAGGGTCAGTGGTGGGGAGCACACCGAGGATGCCATCCCAGCCTGGTCCCAGGTACAGGTGTCACTGGAGGAGACGCTAAACTCGGCATCCTCCAGTAATGTCCCCAGGACAGGCAAGGCCAAGGTGGGAGTAGCATTCTTTGTATTGCCCCCTGCTGAAGCACCAGGTCCTCCTGAGCCCCAGAGCCTGGTGCCAGCAGCCTTGGCTGTTCACCTGAGGCCAAAGTGGCAGCTGAGGCCTGGTGATGAGGCAGATGGCAGGTGACAGGCTGGAAGGCACTGCTGAGTGCTGGAAGGTGTTTGTGGGCACAGGGCCAGGCCCAGGCCCCAGGCCACAGCTGTGCTCTCCACGCAGGGCGGGGAGCAGCCTCAGCAACAGGCCCATACCGGAGCTGCTTGGCCTCCCAGGAAATCAGCCCAGGGACTGTGGAACGCTGAGGCTTCAGCCTGCAGGGTGGCAGAGTCCCAAGCAAGACTGACTCTTGTCAGGGGCCACAGAAAAACTGGCTCTTAGAGACCACAATCCAGAAGAGCCCTGCCAGCTGTCCTCTGTGAGGCTGGCAGTGTCCCCTGCACACTGAATAAAGCAGCTTGTAAGGAGGGCACAGCCTGTGCAAGCCACCAGTCCTCTTCCTCTGTGAAGTGGGGTAACAGCACGGATATGGCCCATCGTCTTGGGAATTAAAGGAGTGAGCTTAGCGCCTGGCCCAGAAGTGCTCGCTGGGTAAAGCTGTTTACTGATGCTTATCTCCCTTGTCGCTTGCCAGCCTTAGCTGCAGTTGTAACCCATGACCTAGGACTCACGACTCCAGACACCTAACTGGTTTCCAGGCTTCTAATGAGAGGAGCGTTGTAGCCACTTCCTGCTGCAATGCACAAGCAGGAAACTAATCAGAATTCTTCAGGGCCTAGAGGGATTTTTGAGGAGATGTGTTGGCTCTGGCTTCCCAGCCCCCCTTGAGGCTTGAATAGCCAGCCCCTCCCTTCCAAAGTACGAGGCAGAGCCCAGCATTGTGATGAACACCTTTAAGCTCAGGTACCTAAAGCAGGAGGATCATAAGCTCAGTGGCAACCCAGGCAGCTTAGGCCCCATCTCAAGATGTTTAAAGGGCTGGGGGTGCAGCAGTGATGGTAGACTGCCCCTGGGTTCAGCCCCAGCATAGGGGTTGGGGGCCAAAGCAGGAGAGGCTGGATTCTGGTGGAGGACATGATGCTGGCCCTTTTCTGGGCTCCTCCCCCTTTCCCCCAAGCTAGCTCCCTGGAAAAGGGGCAGGAGATTTTGGCTAAAGACAGATGAGAGAAAATAGGGGAATAGCAGCAAAAAACCTGTGAAGACTAAGATCGTCCTACCGTTAGGGTCAGACTTTCCCGATGTCATGCCGAAATGAACAATAATAGCCGCATTTTTCAGGCCCTTCTTTAGGGAGCTAAAGTAGCCATAGTATCCCTTCCTTGTACCCTGCAAGGCTCCCATTGGAGTCAGGAGAGGCAGAGCGTGGTGCCTCTGTGCAGGGAGCCAGGCTGCTCGTCTCGACCCACCATGACTGTCCTTCTGCATCTCCTTTTCCCAGCACACCCCTCCAAATATTCATGGAGAAAAAACAACACAGCCAGTGCTGGGCCCTGTGAGCAGAAGCTGCCCCTCCTCGAAGCCAGCAGCAGGCTCAGCTCTACATTTGGCTCTTAATTAGCTTTCCAGTTCTTAGTTATTAATGATCTTGGGCAGCAAGCGGAGCAGTCTAGACCTCACGACTCCTCCCAGCCTCACCTGCTGCAGCTTTTGCCTGGGAGCTGCACTGCAAACCAGGCTCGGGGAGGACAAGGGATCAAGTTCAGAACCTCGGGGCCAGTACTTAACTGTCAGTACTGTGATTGTGACCAAGGTCAAGCTCCTTTCATGCACACCCCAAGACTCACACATGTTGCTGAGCCCCTGATCTGGACCTTGCTCCAGCTAAGAACATTGATCTTGTAGAGAAAGTGAACTTGACCATAATGGATGAAGGCCACCCTTTCTGGGGACAGTCAGACTCACCATGAATGGAGGTATAGCCCATCCTACTGTTTTATCCCTAAAGTAAATCATAAAGGTCCAGTTCTGGCCTTCACCCAAACAGTGGGGGCTTGGGAAACTGAAAAGGATACCCAGCTTTTTGAGCACCAGCAAGGAGCTAAGGGAGAGGAAACTGGGCAGACTCCAGTGGTCTTCGCCTTCAGCACTCCCTCCCGTTTGCTTCATCTCAACCTGTACACCCTCATCAGTGGGGGAAGGGTCTAACTATGGATGGTCCCTCTGTGCTCAGAATGGATAGCCACATGAATGGCTCTTTGCCTCACAGTTACTGTGGAAGGACAGATGTCAATGCACATGTGAAAGCATTGCATAGTATAAGCAAGAGCTATCTTGTGAGCTGGCGCAGGGCCAGTGAAGTGTGACAGCAGAAGGAGGTTGGCTGGGAGCCCCAGAGGGAGGTTAGAGGGCTGGAATGATGGCTGGATTCTCCCACCTGAGAAGTCCTGGCAGCAGTGAGGCTGAGCCTCACCCAGCCCTAATGCCACTTGGCCAACATCCAAGGGCGTTGAGTAGATGTAGCCAGTCAAGGCACAGGCCCATGTGGCAGGCTCCCCACAGCTGACCTTCTATAGCCGTTCCCAGCTTGACAGTGTCAGGCTCCCAGGGGGTCCTGGTAAGGGAGGACAACCACAGCCCTGGCACAAGCTCTCTTTTCAAAGAGCCTTGAAGGATTAACTCCATTTACCATGTCCAGGCTGAGCACAGTGTCACCTCCAGCACTGGTTGAACTGGCACTGAGTGCTAAGTGGCTTCTGCTGCCTGGAGCCCCTTCCTCAGCTACTTCACACCCCAGATCGAGACTGTCTTCCTCACAGGAAGCTACCCAGCTACACAAGCAGTTGGCCTCTCCAGGATACTCCCATGATGCTGTTGCCTGCAGGCTGTGATGCCCCGTCCAGAGTGCAGAATGAGACAGCCAGGGCCAGTGAATTGTAAAAGGTCGGTTTAATGTCCTGGAGGAAACTCCAGCTAGGTGGAGCAAGAGGCAGGAGGTCTCTACCCCAACCTCAAGTTTCCAGCCTCCATGCCCCCAAGCCAAGGCCACAGCGGCCATGACCAGGGACTGACGAACATCCAGGCAGGGTCACCCTCTGGGGTCCCACCCTTCTGCTCACTGTAACTCAGGCTGGGTGGGCAGGACTTTGTGTGATTATGGAGACAGCAATAGCCCAGCCCACTCTAGGACCTGAGCCTGCTAAGGTCACTGAGGTGGCCAAGAAAGCCATCACCTGCCAACGGGGTTCCATGGCCAGGATTTCACAGTAGAAGCCCGAAACGATCCAACCTGCCTGCCTTCTTCCCTTGGCAGTGCCAGGCAGAGAATCCAGAGCAACAGGAACCCGGAGTGCCTGGCATCTCACACTTCTGACTCCAGGCTGGAGATCCGCCTCCAAGTGCAAGGTCCCAGGAAGCCTTGCGCCCCACAGGTTCCCCTGCTGACCTCTTCCAACGCCCCACTGTCCCTGTAGCCTGTGCTCAGCCCCATGGTCCTGCTCCTGTGCGCTGGAGGGCCCCAGGCCTCAGTGAGCCAGGGACTTTGGTTGGCACAGGGTGGGAGGTGAGGGCAGCCCATCCCCCAGCAAAAGGGCAATTGGGCGTGGGTGTGCAGGCAGATGCGCTGCCCAGGCTGCCAGGCCTGGACCGCAGCAGGCACGCCCTCCCAGCAGGCCTCCCGGTGGGACAGGAGCCGCATGGAGTGTGCCTGTGCCAGGCGCCTGCAGGCGGGTTGGGCATCAGGACAGGCGCAGGCGTGGCCGGTGCACCCGAAGGTCAGCGAGCCAGGGCGAGCGAAGGCCTCAGCCACGGAGCTGGGCAGGGAAGCGTGGCGCGGGCGAGGGCCGTGGGCCCAGGCCGCACGCAGCAGAGCCTCCCTCCGGGCCAGCTGTTCCGGGCCTAGCAGTGGCACGTCATCTGGCTCCGGGGGCTCCGGGAAGAGCGGGAGGAAGGGGCGTCGGCATCTGTCGGCTCGAGGGAAGGAGCTGTAGTGACAGTGGGCAGGGGACAGAGGGCGCTCTGGGAGCGCGCGCAGCTCGGAGGCCGAGAGGTGCTGCTCCCTGCGCCCGGCCCGCACTGGCCACCGCGTCTCCCAAGGGGGCCGACTGCACACCCGGGAGACGTTGGGCAGCTGCGTCCCAGGCGTCGGGCAGCAGCTTGGGGACTGCGGGGCCCTGCGCATTAGCGTGGCGGGACCCCCGGAGGGCTGCCCCCAGTTCCTGGGGCTAGGCTGGGGCGGCGGCGGGGTGGGGGTGGGCGGGCGCGGGGCGGGGCCAACACAGGCGGGCGGGGGCACGCGACGGTTGCTGCCCCAGCTCTCGATGGTGCGTGTGGCACGGTCCAGGGAGTCGCTCACGCCCGCCGTGGTCACCATGTCCCTCGCCGCCTGCAGCATCTTGAGCACACTGGCCTGGGCCGAGCCGGCAGTGAGGGCTGGGCTGGGCTGCGGTGCGGGGCTGGCAAGACTTTGCACCCCGCCGAAGCAGCTGTAGATGCCCTGGGCAGAACAGGGGAAGCAGGCTGTGAGCGGCCCGCCCTGTCCGACGCCTCAGCCTTCTAAGACCTAGAACCAACTATTCATGAGAATTGCTAGGCGCCAGGCACCGTCCTGCAGATGAAGGAGGTTGTGAACTCTGAAGGTTGACTGTTCTCCTGATCACAGTGTATGGCAAAGGGCATTGTGGGGACCCCTGCCCCCCACCCTGGAAGCCATGCCGCCTCTCAGGACTCAGTCTGTACATCTGCAAACGGGGCCTTGACCAGCTCTGCCCGATCTGAGTTGGGGCCCTAAAACCGGGCTCTGGGCAAGGGTGCGCACCTACCCTGCTGAAAGCCAGCAGAAAGTCCAGCTGGGACGTGCTGGGTACCGAGTGGCGCAGCTTCCAGTAGACCAGATGCTCCCAGGCAAAGACCAGCAGGGCCAGCCCCATGGCCACCAACAGCATGTAGAAGACCCCAGCCATGTTATCAATGTCCAGCTTGCTGCTCATCACCTCGTTCTTCTCATTCTGGCAGATCCCAGAGAGCCACACTGTCTCCAGTTTCTGTGTCTCTCCTGCAGGGGGGAGGGGGTCACAGCTGCTCAGAAGACCCCGTAGCACATCCACAAGCCTGGATGGAGGCTCAGCAGAGCCAGGAGGAGTCAATGAGCAAAAAGTCAACCAGCAAGAAGAAAGGAAAAGGCCCAGTGTGGCAGTGCACACCTGTAATCCACACTCTAGGAGGCTGAGGCAGGAGGACTGCAAATTGAAGCCCAGCCTGGGCAATTTAGCAATTTAGCAATACCCTTTCTTAAAATAAAAAATTAAAATTTCTAAAGAAGTTGGGGATGTAGCTCAGTACAAAGGCCCTTATTCAATCCCCCGTACCACCAAAAAGGAAGGGGAAGGGTAGAGGAGGAGGAGGAAGGGGAAGAAAGGAGGAAGGGCTGAAGGAGGAGAAGAACAAAAAGCAGAGAGGACACTGGGGAGGGGTGAAGTGAGGTGTTCTAGCCTCTGTATCCTCCACCTGCCTACCCCCAGCAAAGTACACCTGTGTGCCCAATAAAGGTTTGTGGGTCAGGTAAATGTCAGCAGCCATTCATTCATTCATTCATTCATTCATTCATTCACTTGTTGACCATCTCCATGCCAAGCCTGGAGCGGGGCCACAAAGAGCCTGCAGCACCCTCATTATCTGCCCTCCTTATTAGGTGTCATGGGGAATTCGGACAAAATTTTATCTAATCAAGATGGAGCTCCGCTAACTTCGAAGTTTTCTGTGGACTTAGGGGCAGCTGGGCTAGATCACTCACAACCACAGGTCTCCATCCAGTTGCTCCTAGCTGCCTCTCCCTAGCTGCCTAGGCTCACTCCCAGGGACCTCTCTCTACCCATATGGCCTAGGCATGGAGAAGGGTAGAGACCCTGACAACCCTGCGGTCTGGGGCCCAATACAGACCCTCCATGGTCCCCAGCTGTGGCAGTACCCACCATCACCCAGGAACTGCAGGAGCGCCAGGTCTATGGCCCGCTTCCAGTGGGAGTCCTTCTGCATGGCAATGCCATAGCCGGTGGTGGCGAAGACCTTGCCAGAGCCGATGGTGACCAGTTTGCAGCCCTCATCCTTGCCCGCCATGTAGTTAAGGACAGCAGCATCATAGATGAAAGCATCCAGCTTCCTGGGGACATACAGTCCTGAGGCTCAGGGACCATAAAGAAAGGAGGGGGAACCCAAGCCTGGAGCCTGCCAGGCATTTGAACACATGATCCCACTGGGTACTGCTGCAGAGGGACAAATGGGCAGAGCCTTCTCTGGAACCCTTGGGTCCTAGATGTAACGAGGAACTGCACACCCTTCTTCTCAGAAAGGCCAGGGGACTCTGCCCCCAGAGGACACATATCCCCTCTGCCCAGCCTCTCCATACCCCTAAGGCCAAGAGAAGGTCAGGAGCACCATCTCAGGCCAAGGTGACCTCTGACCAACCCCACAGCTGAGTTTCTGGGACACACGGTGGGCATGTTTTCACATCAAGCTCCACTCTGAACTTCCCTGGTGGTCTAGTGGTTAGGATTCGGCACTCTCAAGCTCCACTCTGTCCCGAGACCTTGTCACATCCTCTCCAGGAGTCACACAGGACAGCCCAGCCCTGCTGTTCCTACCTTGGGTGTCTCCAAAAGAGACACAACTGTGGAGACGCATGGCCAGAGACGGAGGACGGGGGCAGGGCCAGAGACCTACCCCATCTTGAGGCTGGTGAGTGCATCCTCCACTGAGCGCTGGTTGAACTTGACCATGTGGGTGTGCATGTCTCGGTAGTTGCTGCGGATGTTCCGCTCCGTGCTGCCATTGGGCACCGTGCCAAAGCGGAAGGGCGGGTACTGATCTTGAGGCCGCTGAAACTGCAGGTGAGCCATTTGTCCCCTTCATCCAAGCTTTCATGCACCTGAGCCCCCAAACCCAGCCTACAGCCCGACCCCAGGGGCTTGCATCATCAGAATGGAATCATTGCACACACTGTCCAGGCTGCTCCTGTGCTTTGCAGATGGGCACCTTGAGGCCTGAGAAAGGGGACACTTACCCAAGCCCCTCAGTCAGTGGACGAGAGTAATCTTCTGTCTCCAGCCCCCTCCTCACCAAGCCCCATAGCTTCTTCCTGCTCCAGCCCCCAATTTAAATTCCCCAGCTTCCAGCTGCCCTGTGTCTGCCTGCCCCAGGCCTGTCCCTGCTCCAAGCACCCCACCCACCCGCCCCCCACCAGCCAAGGCCCTGGAACCTTCTTGTCACTGAGGCCTGACACTGTGTCAATGTACTGCTCCTGGATCATGAAGGCGGCCAAGTTGGCAGTGTAGCTGGCGAGGAAGATGACAGCAAAGAAAGCCCAGACTAGGACCATGATCTTGCTGGTAGTACCCCGGGGGTTCTCGATGGGCACTGAGTTGTTGAAGACCAGCGCCCACAGCAGCCACACGGACTTGCCAATGGTGAAGGATGGACCCCCAGGCTCTGGGATGCAAAAGGGGGTACTGCTCAGGCTTTGATTATTTTTTTATTGCTGGATACTGAACTGAGGGCCTTTGCACTGAGCTACATTTCCAGCCTTTTCTTATTTTGAGGGAGGTTTTCACTGAGTCACTAAGTTGCCCAGTCTGGGCTCCAACTTGTGATCCCCCTGCCTTGGCCTCCCAGGGCTTTGGGAGGCATGAGCCACCACACCCAACTGCTTGGGCTCCTCTTGCCCCCCACAAGAGGGTTCCTGGGGAAGCCCCATTCTAGGCAGGGACCCATCAGTGGCTATTTCCACCCTGCCAGGTACAGCTTACTCTTGCCCTTGGTGAGGGTCTGGTTGTAGCTGACAGGGCTGAAGTACTCGAACATGAAGACTGTGATGGCCACCACGGTGAGGCACATGACAAACATCATCACCCACACTGCTGGGCTGTAGGGCTCTGGGGACAGAGAAAGGTGACTCAGAGACCTTGGTGCCCCCCAGCCTGGCTCACCAGGTAGAGACTGCTAACACTAGGTCTAAGGAGGGTCCTGCCAGCCCTGTGTGTGCAGCCAAAAGGGCCTCAGATTGTCCGAGCAGCAGAGTGCCAGGAGAGACCACAAGGAGGCGTCTTGCCCGGGATCAGGCACACCTCCCCTACAAGACTTCTCTTCACATCCCTTGGCTGGCCCAGCCTGGATGATGGGATCCCCCTGCTTGGACTCAGGGCCTCTGAGGTCAGGTCTTATTCCTCATCCTGTTGACATGGAAACTAAGACCCCAGGTCTCAGTCCCACGGAGGAAGAAATCATTACAGCCATGAGTACTTGTTCCTGTGCTGTGAAGATCACCCTGGACATGGGACTTGGCCTTGTGACCAAGGATTGCACTCAGAGAGGTCAGCGGCTGGCCTAAGGCCACCCGGGGGGAGGAGACCACCCTCTCCCTTTCTCAGCCCCCTCCCGTCTTCGCAGCTCTCTGCACCAGCACCCACTGCATGTCCCACCTGGTCTCCTGCTCGGTGCTTTGGGAGGGCGAGGACCCTGGCTGTACCTCCCACCCCTGGCTGCGGCTGTGCCTCCCACCCCTGGCTGCGGCTGTCCTGGAGGCCTGGCTGAGCAACGCTGAGCTCCAGCTGAATGAGAAGCTGGCCTCTCTCCCGCACTCCCCTCAGCGTTCCTCCCTGCATCCACGGCCCCCTGTCCTGGCTCTGGCCCCTCACAATGGCTTCATGGTTGGCCTCCGTCTCCCCACTCTTCCCAGACTCAGAACATGGCACCAGGTTCACTCTTCCTTCTCCAGCTCCTCCTCCTCCTCCGATGGCCCCTGCGTCTCTGAGGCTGCTTGCTCCACCCCGAGGGCCGCCCCCACCCTCCCTCTACCCATTCCCACATGCCCACCCCCTTGGCCCTCTTCCCAGCCTCACCCAGGAAGGCTGAAGGCGACACGGTGCCGTTGCTTCGCGCCACCATCACACTGATGCCCGTCTCCACAAAGGGCACAGAGAAGTCTACGATCTCAGAGCGTTCCTCATTGATGGTGAGAGAGCCAATGGCCATGTCTGCCCGCTTATAGTACACCTGGGAGCCCCAAGGGGATCAGCAAAGGGGTGCCCAAGGGCTGCAGCATTCTCTCCTGTCCTCTCCCAGCACCCCAGCCACGCCCACCAATGGAATCTGTCATTCCCGCCTGGGGCCCTCAGAGCTCACCTTCCAAGTACTGACTGTCCTTGGGTGAGGGTTATCACTGGTGGCAAACCAGTTCCTCCCACCCCGGGGGGTGACTGAGAGAGGCATAGGGCCTGGCAGCAGGCAGAGTGGCCCAGGGGCGGGCCTACCTCCCCGATCATGCCATTCCACACGCCGCGCACTCGCTTGCCGTGCTTGCCATTGGTCACCAGGTACAGGTCGTAGGAGAACTTGACCACCTTTGCCAGCTTCTTGAGGATGTCAATGCAGAAGCCCTTACAACAGAGCTTGGTGTAGGGGGCTGTGTCACTGCTGCTGAGTCAGAGCCCAGAGACCCGAGAGACCACAAGAGTCAGAGCCCGAGAGACCACAAGAGTCAGAGCCCAGTGTCACCAGCAACCCCAGCAGCTCCTCCCAACCTAACATGCAGACCTCACCCCAGAGCCCATGCATAAAATATATACACTCAACAGCCAACTCCACAGCAGCACCCAGATTGCACCAGACCTGAAAGTGTGGTTGCTTTGCCTGCGGCAGGGCACAGTGTTGGGCACACAGCCACCGGTGCCAGGGTCAGGGCTCTCCACGATGACAAAGGGCCGCTCTTCCAATGTGGCCACTGTCAGGTGCCGGCTGTCCACTACGGGCTGCAGAGAGGCACTGTATCGAGGCCACACTGGGTACTTCATGTAGAGGACACCATGATCCCAGCGACCCACCTGCAGAGGACAGGCAGCCTCAGCCCGGGACCTTTAGCCTTGCTATCCTCAGTGCCTAAGTGTAGTCTGCTAGGGCCAAGAGTCCTCCCTCTCACCTAGGGACAACTCGGGCAGACACAGAAGGGCTGGGGTGGGGACATTTGGAGACCAGAGCAAGTTGCTAAGCATGGGCCAGCAGGACAGGCCTCAAGGCCTTTCACACTGAGGCCCAACATACTCCATCGCCCAGTCCTACTTCCTCAGTCTCCATGCCCCGAAACCCACTTGCCATGTCACTTTAAAATGCCCCTCTCCATACTAGGCTGGCACCCTTTCCTGCTGAGCTCCTACTCAACCCCCATAGTCTGCCTCCAATGTCCCATCTTCTGTGAAGCTTCCCCTAATTCCCTTCTTTGAGGGGAGAATGAAGTCTGGCTCCTCCTCTCTATCCCCCCAAAATCTTGCCCGCATCTCCATTCTAGCACCCATCTCTCTGTACCCTATTTGTCTACATGTCTGTCTGGTCTGCACAGACTGGGCTGCCCCACCTGGGCCAGGACCCAGCGCCTGATGAACTCTGCAGTGGAGGGGAGCCCAGAGCAGGGGCCTCACCCACCCTGGGGGCTCTGCAAGGCTTCCCAGTGGGGGAGGAGCTAGCTGACACCTGGAAGATGAGGGGTTGGGTAAGGGACAGAAGGGCCTCTGTTCAGCTCTTGGCTCAACTGAGACTGGGGACACGTGAGAGGAACCAAGGACCCTGGGCTCACCCCCTTCTCACCATCTCCCAAAGGCGGTGCCGGTTGAGGGCGATCACAACCATGGTGGGCTGGACCAGGTACCCACCAGGACTGAAGGAGAAGTCCCGACCCTCCCAGGTGACATTCAGCAAGTGCCTGTGAGGGGAAAGAGAAGCCAGGATGTCTTGGTACCCCAGCCTGTGGCTCTGCTCAGGAACCCACCCCCCCAAATCAACAGTAAGACACATTTGTTATGCACCTTTTTCTTGCCATACTAGCAATGGAGCCCAGAACCTGTGCACTGAGCTACATCCCCAGCGCCCCTTCCCCCTTGAGACAATGCTTCCTGAGTTGTTAAGCTGTTTAGAGTAGGCTATAACTTGCAATCCTCCTGTCTCAGCCTCCCAGAGTGCTAGGGTTACAGGACATGTTTCTCTACACCTGGATTTCTGTTCTGAGTGTTTTCCTGTATTCACCCCACCATCCTGGCGACACCCTGACACCTATTGTATTTTCAGATGAGAGCCCTGAAGCCAGGCACACAGCGACTAGGAGGTGGAATTTAGGCCAAGCTCCTGAAGCACCTAAAGCACCTCCACCTCTCTCCCCCATGCCTGTGCCGGTGTCCACCTGTAGAAAGCCTCCCGAACAGGACTGACGGGCCCGGGGTGGCTGTGGCAGTCCCCGGCGGCGGCTGGCAGGACACCATGCTGACGCAGGTAGCCATGGGCGCCTAGGGCCAGGATGGCCACACCGTCGCGGACCTTCTGGCGTAGGCTGAGGCGCCAGCTCTCGGTGACAACGCTGATGAGGCCCACGGGGAAGGCGGCGGGCGGTGCGTCGGTGCTGCCCAGTGCCAGGCTGGGCACCAGCCACACGTGGCCAGGCCCCACCAGGCCGGCTTGGGCCGCCTCGGCGAAGAGCACCTCGGCCTCCTCGCGAGAGCAGTAGGCCACCAGCACGGGCGCGTCGATCTGGCGCAGCAGGCGCTGGGTGCGCGCGCGCGGCCCGCTCGGGCCCAGCTCCAGCGTGAGCACGTCCAGCAGCCTCCAGCTCAGGTAGCTGGCGTCAGCGACGGCGCGCACGCCCTCGAGGAAGAGCGCGTGGCCCGGGTGGAGGCTGGTGATGACGGCGAAGGCGCTCCAGCCGTACTCCTCCAGCACCTTGAACAGCACCTGCAGCTGCTGCTCCAGGGACACGCCCAGCTGCAGGAAGGCGGAGCCCGGATCCTGGGGGCAGGGCGGGGCCTGAGCCGGGGCGGGGCGATCGGAGCCCCGCCCCCACCCCAAGCCGCCGGGCTCGGCGAAACCCTTGCCCAGCACTACGCTGTAGGTTCCCCAACCCGTGCCCCAAAGCCTCGCGGTCCCCCTGCCCTACGCAGCTCCTTATCCGGCTGCCCATCGGGATCACCCGTGGAGCTCTGTAAGCTACGCAGGCCCGCTCCGCTCCCCGTGACCATACTGCACCACAAACAGCAGCACCCAGGAACTTGTTAGAAATAGATTCTTGGGCCACACCTACTGATTAGATCAGAATCTGCATTTTTTAATAAGCTTCTCAGCTTTTTCTTTTGGCTAATTTGAGAAGCTCTACCTTAGACCTATTAAATCTGAGTTTCAGATGTGACTCCAGGCATCTGTATTTTTTGCAGGCTCTAAGAACCACTGTCCTGAGAGCTGATGTCGAGGACCCAAAGATAACTGGGAGAGTCAGGGCGAGAACTGTGCTTCTTCTCTCCCAGGGCCGCTGCCACCTCTAAAGCGCGAAGTCCTGACAGCTGGAGGCTGGGCTGGCACAGTGTCTTAGGTGGCACTGTAGCCCCTCAGAAATTTCACTACACTGCCACCTCCTGATGCTTCTGAAAAGCTAATGGGGGAAACTACACTCTAAACAACCCAGTTTCTTCAATCAATAAATTGCAGCTAAAAGAGAGAGTAAGAGATAAAGGGGAAGCCTACAGGTTGAGACTCAGAAATCATACCCACCAGCTGCTACTGACTTGAGTAGACTTAAAAATAAATATCTAGGGGCCGGGGAGATGGCTCAGTGGAATAAGTGCTTCCCTGGCAAGCAAGCGTAAGGGCCTGAGTTCAATCCCCAGTTCTGCCAAATAAATAAATAAATATGGTATTCATGAGACATTTGGGAGATGTGAGCACTGGCCAGGTATTTGGTAAGGTTAAGGAATTTTTATTATATTTTAGATACGATAACATGGTAGCTTTATTTCTTAAAACCCTTGTCTGCTAAAGATATGTACAGAAATATTTCTGGGTGGAACAATAGGAGGATTGAGCTTTGCTTCAGTTTAGCACATAGGAGGGAGTTGGGGAGGTTGGCCGGGGGGTGGGAAGGAGGTGGGGACTCATTATAGTCCCTTCTGCACAAAATTCTCCATAAGAAAGTAGTAGTGAAATAAAGACAAATTGGGCCAGGAACAGTGGCTGAGTAGGGAGATCAAAAGGTGGATTCCTACCTGGACAACTTAGTAAGACTCTAGCTCAAAAAAGAGAGGGGGCTGGGAATGTAGCTCAATGCCAGGGCCCTGGGTTCAATCCCCAGAGATAGATAGATAGATAGATAGATAGATAGATAGATAGATAGATAGATAGATAGATGCATATCAGATCAGCCTTTTCCTTCAGTACCTTTCTTGCCTGCCACTGAAGTAACAGCCACTGTCTCCCATGTAACAGAGACTCACCTCCTCCTCAACTTCTTTATTCTAAAGCTTCTAACAGCACTACCTACTCCTTGGTCTGGAACTCTCCCAGCTCCTCACCCTTCCTGCCAGCTGCCCCTTAGGAGCCCCACAAGACTCCCTCCCTTCTGGCCTCCTGTATTTTTCCTTCTGAGTTTCTGGTATGAAACTGCAGGTGCTGTGTTGAGAATGTTCTCCCCAGGAGACTGCAAGTACCTTGAAGGTGGCATGGGCCTCCCACCTGCTGGAAACAGTGACTTGCCCTGGGATATGTCCCCTACAGGGGAACCTTTTAGCTTATTTATTTATTCTCTCTCTCTCTCTCTCTCTCTCTCTCTCTCTCTATCTCTCTGTCTCCCCCTCCCACCGCCCCCAGGGCCTCACTATGTAGTTCAGTCTAGCCTTCAATCACGTAGTTCAAGTTGGCCTTGAACACATGGGGATCCTCCTGCCTCAGCCTCAAAAGTTCTGGGATTACGGATGTGTAACACCATGCCCAGCTCCTATGGGTGAATTTAATAATCCAGAGGGCATGGCATCAGATCCCCATTCCCAATTGACCCTGTAATCCAGGTCTCCTGGCTGACTAACTGAGCACTCCCAGAGAAGCAGAGGGTAGGCCCCTGGCCACTGCAGCAGTGGGTTGAGGTACAGCCACAGACAAACTGCATAGCAGCCTAAAAAAGTTGGTCTCCTGAAACCTGAGAACATGCTCTCACACCCTCCCCTACCACACCTTCAACTCCACCTCCTTTCTGTTCCCAGCCCCCGAGCCATTGCCTGGGCCAGACTCAGCCCTGGCCCCCAGCCCCAGCCCTTTTCTGAGCCCAAGGGAGCAGAGGACATGCTTTTGGACAAGCACCTTGGGGGTGAGGACCACAGCAGAACCTCCACTGATGCTGAGGATGGGCACATGAGTCTGGGAGGAGACAAAGTCCAGGAGCTGGGCCACAGCCTCAGTGCCCACATTGTCCTCGAAGACGATGCCATGGACACGGGCAGCACCCAGGAGGCTGCAGATCTGGGTGAGGAGGCTGCTGGGGTTGGTGTTATTGACTCCCACAGTGAGTGGCTGGATCTCCAGGGGCAGGTCCAAGAAGCTCTGGGGGGTGAGGCGGACACGGGCCTGGGCCTGTGGTGACCCTGAGCTACCAAACACCACGGCCACTGTCACCGCCTGCTCACCTTGCCCTGGGCCTGGCCCTGCCCAGGCACCCAGGAGGGAGGTGAGCAGCAGGGCTGGCCCCAGGGCCCCACCCATGTCCACTGGAGGCTCCTGCAGAAAGACCGGGACAGGCACAGGGAGAGGCAGATGGACAACCAGGCAAGAGATGAGGGCCAGGGCCAGAGGACACATATTCAGAGGGGGACAGGTAAGGGGGGACACCTCCCTCCATAAAGAGAAGGGCAGACAGACAGACAGAGAAACAAACACAGAGACAGACATGGAGAGACAAAGGTTAGCTGAGTGTCCCCAAGACACTTGAGGGGGAAGGGCTGGGAGAGAATGAGGCCAGGACAGAAGCTTGTCACCGTGCATTCTACCACTGAACTGCATTTGCAGCTAGAAAGGCCCAGGCTATGAAGCTCCGCCTTCCAAGCTCTGCCCAGCAAGGGGCACTGAGCATGCCAGCATGGTGCCCACGTGCACGGCAGCATGCATGGTGTGGTGCATGATGTCACGTTCAAGGCCAGACAGACCTGAACTTGAGTCCCAGATCTGATGCAGACCACCTGTGTGGTCTTGGGGCAGTCACCTCTGGCCCCTCCAAGCCAGGTTCTCATCTTGAGCTAATCACGGGACCTGTCTCACAGCTCTGAGCCTCCTTTCTGTCATCCACAGCCTTATCCTACAGGTGACAGCCCTCAGCCAGGAGAAGGAAGGCAGCTCTGACTCCCCGTGCCCCACCCAGTCCTCTCTACAGCCAAAACCACTTCTTCCATCTGTCCTTCACCAGCACATATGCGACTGCTCAGTGTCCTGCTTGTGTGGACACAGAGCCAACTCCAGGACCCTCCCCCCTGTGGCTGCACCTGGCAGACACTGTCCTCTGGCCTCTGGGCAATGAACGTCATCGTCTCCCCTCCCTCTGGCCCAGCCTATCACTGGCACACAGGATCATTCTAACCTAATATCAGAGGATAAAGTAAATAAAAAGCTCTAAGAAAGTAGCTCAGTGTGAAGGCTTTGGGTTCAATTCCCACTACAGGAGAGGTCAGCAGGTGGCCTGCAGCCTCTGGTGCAGCCCCTCCTCTGGCTGCTTTCCTCTTTTCTCTCCTCTCCATTCCCTCTGGCCCAGCTGCCTATCCCACTGGGCTGCTAAAACTTTCCTGTGGTCCTGTTTCTGCCCTTCCACAAGCAGGACAGCTGCACCTGGCGCCCACAGTGAAATCCAGACACCTCAGTCCATGTACTGAGCCCACACACTCTGGCCCCAACCTCTGGTCTTCTCTCCATGAGCCTTCAGCACCACCTGGCCAGTGGCCAAGCAGGCACACACAGCTCTTGTCCTTAGAAGCTATTGTTTCCCTGCTGAAGCACTCTCTTCTCAACAGATTTCTCTCATCCTCTAGAGTCCAAGCTGAATCCCTTCCTAGGCTCCTGCCCTGCCCAGCTCTGGTCCCCTGTTTGCACAGCACCTTTCTCTCATGGATTAGGATCTCTGAACTGGACCTCTGCAGGGACCTCTCCAGGTAGCAGGCAGTTGCCCACCGAATGTCTCCTCTTTCACTGGACTGGGGCTCCTTGAGGGCAGGGGCATTATCTCAGAGCCCCTGCTCAACCACTCTGAACTCATTCCTTTCCCAAATGGCTGGCAGATTAATGTTTGCTAAACACCTGCATCCCAGAAAGACGGAGAAGAGGATGGCCAGGGACACTGTGCATGCTGAAAGGCCACAGGCCTCCACATGCCTCGGACCCTCTGTCCCACTGGCTCCCCACATCTCAGGCAGGCTCATCAACAAGAAAAGCACCACACACTCACATGCGGGACACTGACGGATTCCCCTATCCCAGCTCTGGAGCTCCAGTCCCAGGAGCCAGCCCCACCCGTTGGAGCAGTCCCCCAGCAGAGGGGCTGGACCCACTGCCCTCAGCGAATGGCTCCTCCTCTGCCGAACTCCCTCCCTCCCACCCAGCTAAAACCTGAACCCAGGCGTCAGGAGAGAGACTGCCCCTTCATCTGACCCCACATGTGGGGGCCCCAAGTTTGGCTCCTCCAAGACTAACTGCCCCCCCACCCCGGCTGATCCCACTTGGGCCCCCTCCCCTCCGCAGGAATCTCTTACACTCGGGCTGTGAAGTTCGGGGTATTTTTAGGCCGGCGATAAATAATTCATAGGGAACGTGGCATCAGGCTGCCCCTGCGGGAGGAGGGGGCGCGAGCGGCAAGAACCACCGTCACCCGCGGCTCAAGGACACTCGCGATGCGGCGACGGCGGCGGCGACTCGGGGAGCGGGGACCCGCGCCACGCCTCCTGGCGGCCAAACTGGGCACCACGCGCTCAGCGCCCCCAGCCTCACCGCTGGCCCCCGCGGGGTTCCCAAGCCCTTAGGCCCCGCCCCACTCGCCCAAGCTGGGTCTGGACCTCAAGCCCCGCGGCAGGTGGCCGAGCTCTCCTGGCAGGAGGCGCTGCAGGCCATGTCCCAGCTCAGGGCATCCTCGTGCGGGACCGAATCCAAGAATGCAGTTTTCCTGCCTACCTGTCCCTTTCGCACTCTTATTCTTCCAAGTTTACGAACAGGCTCAGAGCCACTGCCACCACGTTCTGGACCGGCCCCAAAATAAATCCAGTGGAACTGCACCTTCTCCGGATAAACTCTTTTCCTCGATGTTCCCGTGGCCGGGGCTCCGTGTCCGAGCCAGAACGGGGCCACCATCCGAGGGCTGGGGGACAGGGTCAGAAGTCCCTGTGGGTGAGCAGAGCTGGGAAGCAGGGTGGACAAAGGGGGCTAGCGTCAGGCCCAGCAGAAATTCCACCCTCGAGCGCACACAGCGGGGACTTCACAGGGTCTCCAGGTGCACCCTTGGGAATTGAAGGCTACTGGGTGATTTTGCAGTAGCGTCCTAGTCCTGCCTGCCGAGGCCTAAGCACGAAACGCCCTCGCAGCAGGAGGCGCAGGCTTCGCAGTCGTCTGGGATTCAGGTCCAAGCCCGAGAGACCAGAGTACCCTGCTGGTGCACCCCGGGCCCAGGTCGCAGAGGTGCAAGCTGTCCCCAGCCGGCTTCGCCTATCCTTCGCTCCAGCCCTCCGAGCTTGGATCCACCGGGGCTGGAGGCCACCTCTGGAAGATCCCACCACGTCAGAAGCCCACTCTGGCTCCCTGAGGTCAGAGACAGGATACTTTTATGAGGCTCAGAGAGGAAGGGGAACCGGGAAGGGTGAGTCTGGGGGACTCTCTGCCAGCGAAGGGGGCCGAAAGTGACACAAGCAAGCAGCAGGTGCCGAGAGAACACCGGGGAGCCAGGGAACGAGATCCGGGAGCGGCCACAGCCCTCTTTCGCCCTGTGGGCGCCGGGCCTCTCCAGGCGCCTGGCTCGGGTTGAACCTAGCCTCACTCAGGTCGCGGACCCCGACCCGCTCTTCATCCCAGCAGCTTCCAATAGCAACAGTTGGGGGACCTGGCAGCTCGGAATTCCGCGTCCCCGCAACGCCCCCTGCCCAGCAGTGTTGCTCTGCCACGCGAAAGGCAGGAGGGCTCGCCGACCCTGGGGACAAGTGTCTTGGGCGCCTCGCCCGCGTCCTTCCCTCGTGCCCGCTACTAGTCTTTCTCCCTAGCCTCTCTTCCTTGCCTCCTTTCCTCCACCCGCCGGGGTCCCAACCCCAGACCGGGGTCCCAAGGGCCCATGTACCCTGGTCGTCCCCACTTCGGCTCCCTCCGCGGGCCAGACTCTCCCCGGGTGTCCCGAGTCTGTCTGCGCCGTCCTTTCCGGCGCGGCGCCCCAGCCCCAGCCTCAAGTTGGCGGCGAAGTTGGCACTCCCAGCTTGCCGAGCAACCCCAGCCACACTCACCGGAGGGAAGGGGCGCTGCACCCACACCCGGAGCCCGTACCCGCAGCCTCCCGCGCGGTGCATGTCCCGGCGCCTCGGCCCGGCGGCTGGCGCGCTCGTTCCCAGCACGGCGGGCGGGCGTCAGAACCCCGCACCGCAGGGCCAGTGCCCGAGGCGCGGCCTGGGTCCCGCCCGCCCCCACGTCCAGCCCACGACCCACCGGGCACCCCGCTAGTTCCCAGGCTGGGCTGCGCGCCTCCGGCTCCAGGGCTCCCAGGGCTGCCAGCCGTTTGGCTGAGCGCTTGCTGCCGCCTCCGCCCCGCCCCGGCCAGCCGCCCGAGCCCCCCCAGGCCCCTCCCTGCTGGCTGAAGGTCTGGGTCTCCTCTCCCTTCTCCAGCATGGTGTCCCTAGATTCAACACTCGGAGGCAAGTTCGACCCCGGAGGGAACTTCACCTAGCGGGGTGCCCTAGGTCCCACTCTCGGTTCACTAGCTGTGTGACCTTGGGCCAGTTAATTTCAGGATCCTTCAGTTTATAAAGTGAGGCAGCGTCTCGGTGATGCCACAAGACTGTAAACTGCAACAGATTGAGGTACTATTTTTAAAAGGCTGTGGATCTGGCCTGAAACTGACTGATGGAGACGAGAAGGGATTGGGAGCACAGAGTGGGGACACAGGCCAGTCCTGCAGGGCCACTGGGAGGGTCCTGCGGTTCCCAGGTTTTTCCTTTTCAAGTGTTTTGATTGGCACCAGGCAAAGGGACAGCGAGGCAGGCAGGATAGGGGACCTATCAGTGGTGACTGTACTGTGGGCAGAAGACAGGCAAGCCATGGCAAGAAAGCCAAGAGAGGGAGGGTGGCGCTTCTCAAGCCTGCCAACCCCCCTTCAAACCTTCACCAGGCCCCCATCAGGGCAGCGGTTCTGCAGCGCCACCTGCTGACCACAGGCAAGCTGCAGCCAGAAGGTGACCTGGGACCCCAGAACAAGCACACCAACCAGGACCCTTGGTTTCAGCTGTTTTATTTCCAACATATTTCCGACCTCCTAGCCCTGCGAAGTCCAGCAGGAGAGAGCTGAAAAGGGTAGGGCCAACCTGTGCCTCCACCCCTCCCTAAGTTAAGATCACCTCCTGGGGCCAAACCACACTAGCCAGGATGACCATCTGGTGGAAGGCAGTGCAGAGAGGAACCATGAAGAGTGGCAGGCACATCGTAAAGGAGCTGAGTCCAGCCCAGACAGACTCAGGACCCTTCCCCTGAAGACTAAGATCCAGGCTCAGTGCCCAAGCAATCGCCACATCTCCTGAGAATCCACCAGCTTCTCCCGAGGCTTTCCAGAGCCCTGACCCCGAGACACTTCTGCAGCATCCAGCTTCTCCCAGTCTGAGAAAGAGATGGGCCGGACTCCTGACGCAGAGGGGAGATAAGTCAGTGGTGCCACTCCCTCCTGCATTCCCCTTCCAGTACAGTCCCCCACCCCCAAAGAGTGGCACCTATGAGAGAAGCCACCCATCCCTCCTCCCAGAACCTTGGCCTTGGGGGCCCAGACCTCTGCTGCTGAGCAGGGCCTGGATGGCTGTGTAGCCAGGCCTGGGGCCAGGGGGCAGCAGCCCAGCCTTCAGATCCTGCAGCAGTGCCTGGCTGGTGAGGAAGCTGTCGGTCATGGTGGTAGCAATGACACCTGTGGGTCCCGTCTTCACCCAGCCACTGCAGTAGAGGCCTGGGGGGGGGGGCAAGAGGAGAGTGACTGCACACTGCCCAGCCAGCCTGGGCCCCAGTGTGCACACGTACACACAGATGTACACCCCTGATCTCACGGCAGCTGGGCCCCTTGTGTCCACTGGCTGCCGTCCTGGATTCTTCCCAACCTGCTCAGATTGTGACCATGTCCACCTCCAATTCAGCAGCTCCTGTTTTTAACTCATTCATTAATTCCAGTGAATGAATTAATCCTAATGAATAACAGGTGCATGGGTACTTAAACCAGAAGCTTCCTATGACAGGGTTTGCCTTGTCTCTAATCCCAGTACCGAGCACAAGGGCTAGACCAGAGCTGGCCTCAGGGAAGATTTACTGAAGGACCTAATCATTAGACATATGTCCTGCATGTTCCAAGACGTCACCTAGGGCCAGGAGAGTAGGCTGGGTCCCAGCACTGGGCCTGCCTAGAATACCTGCCCAGTATATGTTACTAGAGGAAACAATAAATAGCCCCAGGGACACCAGTCTTCCAGCCTCCCGCCACCACTAGGCGTCCAGCTTTATCATATCCTCTCACCTGGCACATCCACAACCCGGCCCTCCGTATTGGGGATGACCCCAAGTTTGGGGTCAAAGGGCACACTAGGGTCGATGGGCCGGCTCTTATACCCAACACTGCTCAGCACCAGCCCACAAGGGAGGTCCTCCGTCTCTCCTGTGGGCACTGCATGGGTGGCCTCACCGACACCCTGTTGGGGAGAGTGTGGGCAACACCAAGCTGGGGTGTGAAGGGCCTGAGAATGGGGTTTCCTTGGGTAACAGAAGACTCACCTCTAGTCTGGTAACTGCCAGGCGGATGCCTGCTACCCGCTGCCCATCTGGAGAGGACAGCACCTGCTGGGGGCTTCGGAAAAAGCGGAGCCCCCAGGCACGGGAGGCCGAGGCCCGGCGAGCAACCTCCTCCACCCCTGGTTTCTCCGTGGCTGTGCGAAGCAACAGTTCTGTCAGCCGCCTCCTTGGACGGGGAACCTCTGTCATCAATGGAGAATATCTCAGGCTTTCCTGCCCCACAAGGCCTCCCCCAAACCTCCTGCGACCAAGGCCAGTCCCTCCCTGGAAGCTGGGGGCCAGGTCAGGGCCCCTCACCCTTGATCTTGTCCTGGAGGCCCAAAAAATCTGCAGGATCCAAAATGGGCCGGGTTCCTGGTAACTGGATCATCTCCCGAAGCTCCTGGTAGGAGGGGGGAGAGGGGGAGGAGGTCAGCCCCTGAACACTGTCCACCTGAGCCCACCGGTGTCCAGCCCAGGTGACGAGGCCGGCACGAAGGCACGGGGCCCCGGGGCCTGCTCCCCGCCATCCTAGGCAGCAGCTACTCCCAGAGGCTCTGCCCCCTCCAAGGAGACACCCTTTCCTGGGGGACCTCCATCCCACTCCATCCGGGTACCTTAATGGTGAAGGCTGCTTGTAGGGGCCCGCGCCTGCCCACGATCCACACTGTCTTCACCTGACTCTGTCTCAGGACCCCTAACGCAGCCTCCGTGATGTCTGTTTTCTGGCACAAAAAGAAGTCCTTGAAATCACGGGTGGCTGATCCAGGACTCTGATTTGTGGTGTCCCTGCCCTAACCCCTAAGGTAGAAGGCTGACAGCGCAAGACCGCAGTACTGCCCTCCTGTGGTCAGATGGGGCATTGCCGCCAATGCAGCAAGCGGCTCCAACTAGTACAAGCTAGGTCTTGACTCACTCAGCGAGTATTCAATGAGCATCTACCCAGTGCCTGGTACTGGGCAGAGGGGCGAAGAGAAAAGGGCAGTTCACATGAGCAAAACAGATGTGGTGCTGGCCCTCACAAAGCTCCTTATTGACATGGGGAGATACTCAGTGGATGGCATGGATGAGTAAAATGGCAGGGTTGATAAGAAGCTATACATGAAATAGAAGCACACTGGTCGTTAGGTGAACGTATGACAGGGGAAATGGGCTATTCAACCCAGCAAGGCTACCTGGCAGCCAACTGCCGGCCAGTGGAGTCAAGCGAGAATGTTCCGGGCAGGAGGAATGGCATGTGTAAAGATCCTGCGGTACAATGAAGTTGCGTGCCAAGGTAAAGGGAGCCATGGCATGGGCCACCTTCCAGAAGGCTTCTTGTGCCTGGCCTGGCACCCAAGGGAACCTGCACTAGGGGAGGCCCCAAGCCCACCTCCAGCTCCTAACCTACCACTTACCTCCAGGTGCTCAGGGGGGGTCAGCAGGATCCGGGCCACATCCAGAGCCACATTCCCCTGCCCCAGAATCACAGCAGTGTCACAGCTCAGGTCCGGTGCCAGCTGAAGGGGAAGGGTCTTAATAGAGCCCCAGCTTGAGCTCCCATCAGCCTAATCTTATCTGCAAATGCCCCATGCCCAGTTTGTCACCCCCACACTGGTGAGGTCACCCTCCCTGAGCCCTCAGTCCTCGCCCACCCAGCCCCACCCGAGGCCATCTCTTCTCCTCACCACCTCCTCTGTCCTCCTTGGCACCCAGGGCTGCTCCTGGCCTGGCAAAGGTGGGGAGGAAGAGGCAGTAGGAGTGCTCCCCAAACTCACCTCTTGGTTCTCAGGAAGCCCGTTGTACCAGCCCACAAAGGCCCGGGCAGAGCACACGCCAGGGAGCTCCTCGCCAGGGATCCCCAGGGCCCGGTGGTCCTCCGCCCCATAGCTCTGAGGAAAGGCCAAGCCCAGAGTCTTAGCACCTACATGGGGGACTGGTGCCCAGCCTCTCCTGGCTCCCAGTGTCCCCTTCTAGCAACCACGATCATCTGTGCTCACCAGCACCACAGCGTGGTAGGCCTCCCGCAGCTCTGGCACCGTCACATCCCTGCCCACTGCCACATTGCCCCGGAAGGCACAGCGCTCAGAGTGGGCTGTCTGGGTAAATGTGTTGATGACATTCTGCAGGGCAGGTCCAGAGTACAAGGGGTTAGAGGGTGGGAAGGCGCAGGGACCATGTCAGTGCCACCCTTATTCCTTTCCCAGTGTCCCTGAGTCATTCTACCCAGCCAGGCAGCCCCCTTCCCTCATTTTGACCAGTGGCACCAAATGTCACCCTCCATGCCCAGAGAGACCTACCTTCACCTCAGGATGGTCGGGCGCCACCCCAAAGCGCACCAGGCCGAAAGGCACGAGCTGCTTCTCGTAGATATCCACTTGGGCTCGGGTGTGGTGCTAGGGGAGAGGGCACAGCTGCTGGGGTCCTCCATTCCCCAGGCAGAGGACTGGACTGAGGACACAGATGCCCCAACCATCTGTGAGGACAAAGAATTCCTCTCGAATCCCCAGCTGCCCAGAAGCCAGAAAAGGGGCAGCAGCAGGAGCTGAGGTTAGACCTCAGGAAGGACTACCGGCTGTGAGAATGGGAGAAATCTGGCCAGGGAAACAGGACCAGAGTTCCCCTCCCCTGGCCCTGAGAGTTAGGGGCTTCCACTACCCAAGTTACACATGAGCCACAGCCCTGCCCTCCAACCCTTCCGTATTTGGTAGAAACACCCTGTGGGCCAAAGACTCGCAAGCCTTCTTTGAAAGGCTAACCTGCCTTAGCTCTTGTCATCGCACTATGACGGGGACCAGCAAGACAGGGAGTCCAGTACAGGGGGAGAAGGAGGTGGCAATGGACCATTCCTAGCCTTAGAAAAACCATCTCACTTTCTTGCTTTAAAACCTGTCATTGCTGCTGGACATAGTTCTAAGTGCTCAGCAGGTGGTCCGTTCCTAGCGCCACCTGACCTTGTTGTCTCCATCCTTCATTCTTCCCTATGTGCCCTTTGCTCGGGGACATGAGGCTCCCTCCAAGGGACAGTCATACATCACAGCCTGGAGCCCACATTCCTGTTCCAAGAAACCTCTCCTGCCCTCTCTTCCTTCCTTAGCCTCAGCTTTTCCTTCTCAGGGCTCTTTTCTGGTATCGCCTGGGTCAGTCTCCATCTCTATCTCCCTTCTCCCATCCACATCTCTCCCCAAGCTCCAAATCTGAGACCCCAGGACATTGTCACCCAGACACCCTGAATACATGCAGATAAAACCAAGGCCTTAGCCCTTTCTGCTCCTGAGCTCCCTGCTGCCCATTCCACTCAGAGCCCGAGCCAGAACCTGGTGCTCCCTGCTTACCTTTCTCCATCCTACCCCATCAAACTCACATCTTCACCTTCCCCATCCCTACTGAACTTCAGGCCCCCATACTGGCTGTGTCTACTGAGCAGGCAGAACACTCCAAATTTCACAAACAGGGTCCTTGGCTAGAGGATCGCTCAGTGGTAGAGGACCTGCCTAGTATGTGCGAGGCCTGGGCTCCATCCCCAGCACTGAAAGAAAGGTGGGGAGTATCTTGGGTCTTGTCTAAAACCCTTCAAGGAAGCCTATAGCAGTGGGCACCAGAATCTTTTAGGGTTCTAATTTAAAGCTGTCCATTCCAGGCCCTAGTCTTAGAGTTAGATTAATTCTGGGCTGAGCCCAAAACTGTTTTATTTATTTTGTTGTAATTTATTTGTGTTTTTGAGGCAGGGTCTCACTAAGTTACCCACATTGGCCTTGAACTTTTAATCCTCCTACCTCTGCCTCAATGAGTAACCTTACAAGCATGAGCTGCCAACATCTTGCCAGAAATGTTTAATAGGTCACTCAGGGGACTCTGATGGTGTAGGGGGTGTTGTGCAGCACCTTGAGAAAATCACCCAAGTCCACAGCCTGGTCAGTAGCTTCTGAGGCCCAGGCTCTGGGTCCTACATCTTCCCCAGTCTGGCTTTTTCTCTCTGCCTCTCCTGCACACACCTGCCTTCTGGAACTTGCCCCTTCCTTGGAGGGCCATTCTCTCCCTTCACTGGCCTTTGTCCATTGTTTCTGCGCACCTGGGATATTCCTGCCGTTCTACCCCCTGACCTGACACCTCCACCTTCCTTCAAACTGCAATTTCTCTCCCTCTACGTTAGGCATCCCCCCGCCCCCCGCACTGTGAGCCTGAAAATTCCTTGTAAACCAATAATCCTCTCCACCCTCACTGGAATGTGAAGCCCTTAAGCACAGGGACCAGCCCTGTCCTCCTCACCCCCATGTTCCTACAGCAGCCTATGCCTGGAGCACGCTGGTGTCCAGTGTGTGACTACTGGGTGATGATGACCCAACGGCCTAGGTCAGATGCCAGTGCCTTCCCTGCTCCATGCTGAGACCACTGAGCTCTCCCTCCGTCTTTGTGTCCTCGCCTGTGAGCGCTGTGATTCGGCACCACAGGTTAACATGAAGCTGCTCTGAGATGGTACTCAGCGCCTGACTCAAGCTAATCAGTACTGCCGCAAACGTGCCCATAGCTTGGAGCTCCCAGTGGGCAAAGATCAACTGATATCTGGCCTCTGCGTCCACACCCAGTCTGTGGGGAAAGCGCATGCCTGTGTTCACAGGCCAGCAGCTTGCCTGCAGAGGAGCATCAGGAGCCCTGCCTGGAGGGCCTGCTCTTCCCCTCCCAGAGCTCAGGGCCCTGCAGCGCCTCCTTCCCGGAGCCCAAGTTGTCCTCCTGTGTCTGTGGGCTTGCATTCAGGCTGACTCCCAACTCAGGAGAGGCCCTTGCCAAACCTGTGGCCTTCAGTGCAGTTCAGAAAATAGCTTCAGATTCATCTCTACCACACTCAGCTCACTCTGCTCGCATCATTATAATTAGCTCTGTCACCTGTGTTGCTTGGGAGCATTCATCTGTCACTTTTCAACAGCGACCAACCCATCCCTGTCTCCATGAGACCCTCCTAGTTACAGCACTAAAAGTCTTGTGGCCCAGGTCAACCGGGACAGTGGGCCATGCCATCCTTCAAGTACCTCCATGTGTGCGTAATTATATATTCATTTATTCCTAGGTCCTGCACAGACACACCAAGCTCCTCCAAAGCTAGGCCACTGTCTCATCTCCGTAAACCTAAATCTCCTTTTTCCTCTCCTTCTCAAGGTCTGAGTAGATCTGGCGGCCTTGGAGCCCTGCCTATCTGCCTGCCAACGCCGAAGCTAAAAGCTCTGAGACCTTGGCCTTTAATGGGGGAAAGGAGGAGGCTGGAAGATCTGTGGAGGAAGGTAAAGTTACAGAAAGCTAGGAGAGGGCTAGCCTCAACATGTAGGATGCTGGAGGAAGTGGCTTACCTTTAGCAAGTGCTGGGCTGTGTAGAAGCCAGCTGGGCCACTGCCCACCACACAGATCTGGGGGGTTGTCTGAGTGGAGAACTGCTGGTACAAGGCTGGGGCTGGGCAGAGGAGAGGAGCAAGGCCAAATCAACACCCTCTCCCCAGTCCCAAATCAGGAGATGGACCTCAGCAAGTGCCACCCCGCCTGCACCTTCCTCCTCTTGTTCCTCACAGCATTGGCAGTTGCAGGGTCCCTTACTTCATCTGAACCCCTAATGGCGTGGTCTACATCCAGAGCCCCACACTTCACCCATGAAATTACTACACCGCTGTTGATGGCCTACCCACGAGCCTCCACAACGCACTGTTACTTTCCATAGGGGGTTCCCTTTCCTAGCCGCTGTTACTTCACATCTCCTTACAGGTTGCCTATCATCCCAACCCCACCCCTGTGGATCGCCCCGCAACGCACCCATCTTGTCTTCTCTAACCTCTCTGCAGAATCCTCATTGCTCATAGAGACCCGTTTGGCCCCAGGCGTCCCTACTGTCCACACAATGTTGTCCATTCACCCTGTCTCGCATATGGCCTTCCACCTTTGCTGAACTGCCTCAGCCTAGAGGTCTCACACCTCACCGCACAGGTCCCCACCTGTCCCCTACACCACCCCAACTCGTCCTCCTGACTACTGTACACCATTCCAGCCGTCCCCTCTCCAGCCTAGTCCCAGCTCCGCTCCGATTCCCTTAGCGCTCGCAGGCCTCCCCGCGCTGCCACCCAGTCCGAAGCGCCTTCTCCTACCCAGAGTGCTCCTAGCGGGAGCCGGCCGGGTTCGAGGCCACGCCGGCAAGCGCACCCAGCGCCAGCAGCACAGAGCCATGGCTGGGGACAGCGACCAACAGGTGACTCAGGACTGCCGCGCTTTCGGCCGGCTGGCCCCGCCCCTGGCTCGGCCCCGCCCCCGCGCGGCCTCTGGACCCGCCCACCACCGTCGCACCCGCCTCCAAGCTCCGCCCCTCGCCCTAGGAAAGCCGAGTTACGGCTCCACCCCAGCTTCAAAAGAATCCCGCCCCAAGAGAGAGGCCCGCCTTTGGGGCCACCCCGTACGGCCGAAGCCCCGCCCAACTTCCGGGTCCTGAGAGAATTTCTCGGGTCTTCACCCTCGTTCCAAATTGGAGAAGAGCGAATCGCTATCGCTGTTTCAGTCTCTCGAGAAGAAGGAAGCCAATTAGAAAGGAGTTTATTTTATTTAGCGCCTCAGGAGCTCGCGTCGCTCACTAATGACAAAATAGTCCTTTACCTTTTGATAGGCTAGCCTCTGTTTGCGTAGTTTCATTCCGGCCAATCAGAAGTCAACTTCCAAGGGCGCCTCCCGCCCATTGGGTAATAGCCCCAGAGTCCGGAAGTCTGGAGAAAGACTGTCCCTGCATTTCTTTCTCGCGGCCCTCTGGCGAGCTGCAGCGGCGTGGCCCCAGCAAGATCCTCTCAGTGTCGGTCCAAAGAAAATGTTATACACTGGAAATCTTGTGTGGCCTCACCTCCTTCCCGTTATAGGTGAGGAAGAGGGTAATGGAGGGTTACCCAGGTACTAAGAACAGAGCTCTGCCCCCGGCTGTCGTCCAGCACGAGACCCTCGCCACGAGCACAGAATTCAGGAGGTCGCCAAAAATTCAGTAATCAAAAAATAATGTTTTTTTACACTTGATCTTAACCAAAAAGCCGAGAAGCGATAAAAAGTATATATTTGTATGCGTCCGTTTTAAAAGATAAAAAATAATCCCAAAAATTTAAACAAGTTGGGGCTGGTGAGATGGCTCAGTGGTCTAAAGCACCTACTTAGAACAAGCTTAGCAAAGCAAAGGGACCACCGTTCAATCCCCCAGCACCACATGCCAGCCAGCCCCGCCCCCTGGTGGGCTGAGCTGGCCACACACACACACACACACACACACACACACACACACACTAAAATAAATGTTAAAAAAAAAAATTTAGAAAGAAAAAAAAAAAATTTAAACAAGTTTCCAGGGCCAGCCAAATAACTCGGCGGATTAAAGCATCTGCAAGCAGGCGCAGGGGTCTGGGGTTCGATCCCCGGGGCGCTCTGAGATGGCCATTGAGACTGGGCATGGTGGCGTGCCCCTGTAATCCCAGATCTTGGGAGGCTGTAGTAGTGACACCCTGAACATCCTGAAGACCCTTCTCTAAAATACAAAAAAAAAAGTTTCCATGTAAAAAGCACACAACTTATACTCACCTCTGATACGATATGTCTAATGCCTCTTCCCTTTCCCCAGAATGTCTTGTCAAATATTCCTTGGACAAACCTCTAACCCATCCGATTTCCAACTCTTAAGGAGTTAGGGGCCTGCCATCCCCAACATCACTTTATTATGTCAAAGGACAAAGTCACAATTTAGCTTTTCTTCAATTAGCCTTTTTTTGCGGGTGTGTGTGTGTGTGAAGGCTCACGTGTACTAAATAGTCTAACCACTCCACCCCTGACTTATTTTTTTATGTTTTTATCATTTTATATTTATATATTTAGTGCAGGGTCTCACTACACAGATTGGACTCGCAGTGAGCCTCCTGTTTTCAGCTCCCAAATGCTGGGATTACGGGCGCAGGCCACCAGACCCAGTGTCCCCTGGCTTTTTTTGTTTGTTTGTTTTGTTTTGTTTTGTTTTACCCTGGCTTATTTTTGGTTCTAGACTTGGACAACACAATTGTGTAAAATAGAGCAAGTTTTCAGATAGTTGGTCTAGGTGGAGGTTGGTTTTATAGACAACAAGGGCTTGAAGAAAAAGAGAGCAGAAGGTGGATTGAGATTTCTTCTGAGATAGGGAGAGGGAACCAACAGACTAACGGGAGGATAACTGCTTAGGTGACACCAGGTTATCTCATGTTCTTTTGTGTAAGAAATGGAGCAGAGAGAATGGTTTTATGCCAGTTGAAACAAGCCTGACAGGAAAATGGGCTGATTTCTCAAGAGTGTCTGATAAACAGCTCAGTTTTAGCTTGGTGAACTTTCAGGTGAGTGGTTCCATTTTAATTTTCATTCTGGCCTATTGAATTTCAAAATAATGGCCTCCGGTAATGTTTAACATTTGGCACACTCCTTGTCATTTAGAAAACTTGATTATTGTAAAATTTTTACTAGTACATGTTGCAGCGCATAATGAGTACATTCGTTGTGGAGAGTCGGTACATGCACATAAGACGTCTTAATTTCTCTTTGTCATTCATAGTGATTTTTTAAAAAGTGAGGTATAATATATAAAGGGTTCACAAACCATAATATACAGCTGATGAGGCGTAATGGCATGAACAGTAGAGTGTCCCCACTATCCATGAGTCCCCTGTGCCCTACTTATCACTCTTCTCTGCTACTGAGAAGTAAACACTGTTCTTCTGCTATACCCTTGTGTCTCATGCCTGTGCTACAGAACCAGGAATAGGCTGAGGATGGCTTGCAAGACAAATGCTGCCCATGGGCTTGTTTTGCAAAACCCACAGGATGGATTTTTTAAATTTTTTAATGGCAAAAATGATTTTTCTTTTTTTGGCGGTACTGAGGATCGAACTCAGGACATGGCTCTTGCCAGGCAGGCACTTATACTGCTGAACTATCTCCCCAGCCCCCAGCAAAAACAATTTAAATGCTACGACATGAGCAGGGCATGTGGGGGGCATACCTGTAATCCTATTATAGGCAGCTAAGTTAGAAAGAGAGTGATATACAGCCAGAGAGGGAGAGACTGGGCTATGAAGGAAGTCACCACAAAAATAAAGACATGAGCATGTTGGCTGGAGGCCCATCTGAAGAAGGCCAGGGCTCAAAATAAAGATGGAGTGACTAGGCCTTCATGCCTCCCTAAGGGATAGATAGTAACACAAGATTATATTGTGATTAGCATCACCTGGTCCAGTAGGTCCAGCTAGGCATCAGTACCCCAGGTCTGTGACCAGGACATCCAGACCCATCCCTACCCTTGCCATTGACTTGTTTCCCTATTTGATCAATATTAGCTAAGTAGCTGTACTTGTAATCCTGGAGGCTGATTGCAGTTTGACCCATGTGGTACCCACCTTGTGATGTTGCTCTATAAATTACCCTGACAAGAGACCTCACAGGCCACTCCATTTGGGACCCCTGCTGCAAATCCAGAGCTAGTCTTCTCTCCTTATTTCCAATAAAACTCTCCAGCTTCCTTTGGTTCACAGCCTTATTCCTGGATGATACGGGACCGCGAACTGGGCCCATTTGACATCTAACGGGAATATTGCTCCTAGGTCACCCCCAGCAGTGGAGACGCTAAGGCAGGAGGATCAAGAGTTTAAGACCTAGGCTGGGAATATGGCTCAGTAGCACAGCACCTGCCTGGCAAGCGAAGACTATGCGTTCAATTCCCAGTACCAAAACAAATAAAAACCTAGGGTTTAAAGTCAGTCAGGACTACATAGTGAGACCCTGTCTTAAAAACAAATGAAACAAAAATGTGACATGAAAAGTGTATGAAATTCAAATTTCAGCGTTCTTCATTAAAATTTTGTTGGCACACAGCCATGGTCATTTCTTTACATGCTGTCTGTGACTGTTCTTATGCTTTGATGGCACAACTACTTTTGTGACAGAGTCCTCTTGATCCATAAAGCCCAAAATATTGAGTGCCAGTCTCTTTACAGAGAGAATTTGACACCCCTTGTACTGGACTGTAGAAGCCACAAGGGTGGGGGCCCAATCTCATTCCCTCTTATCCCTAGAGCTCTGCAGTGTGTGGAGCCTGGTGGATGCTCACAAAGAATTTGTCTTGAGCCAGGCGTGGTGGTGTTCATCTGTGAGTCCAGCACTTAGGGAGACTGAGGTAGGAAGATTGCAAGTTGGAGCCTCCCATGTGCCTCGACACCCCGCAGCTTCCGCACTCTCCCGCCCCCTCAAGATGCCCAAGAAGAAGGTCAACTGGGCCAATGTGGCGGCAAAGGAGGAGCTGAAGAGGAGAGTGGCCAGGTTGTCAGCTAAACCTGTTCCTGCTAAAGTGGAAACAAAGCCAAAAAAGGCAGCAAGAAAGGATAAATCTTCAGATGAAGTGTAAGCAAAAATAACCATCTCTGGTTATTTTTTGGTACAACCAGAAATAGTGGGACATTGAATTATGGAAGTGGGGAGCCTAGGGAAAATAGGCTGAAGGGGCTAATCAAGAAACCAAGGAAGAGGGGCCGGGGAGATGGGTTAGTAGAATAAGCGCTTCCCTGGCAAGCGCAAGGGCCTGAGTTCAATCCCCAGTTCTGAAAAAAAAAAAAAAAAAAAAAAGAAACCAAGGAAGATTTACCTATGGAAAATGGAGAAACTGAAAATGAGGAGCGAGTGCAGCCTCCAATAAAGCAGGAGAAAAGCCACGTCTGATTGATCACACACCATGTCTTATTGGTGCTCCCTGTCTCCCTTCTTGTACAATCCAGAAGAATGTTTTTATCAACCATCATGTAAATGCAAGTTTTTTTAGTAGCTCTGGAAACATTATTTTTATTTTTTTTTTTGCAGAACCTGGGATTGAACTCAGGCCCTTGCACTTGCCAGGGAAGCGCTTATTCCACTGAGCCATCTCCCTGACCCCTAGAAACATTTTTAAAAAGGAGGGAATCCCACCTCATCGCATTTTTTAAGTGTAAATGATTTTTTTAGAGGTGAAATCCATCTCTGGTTATTTTTTGGTACAACCAGAAATAGTGGGACATTGAATTATGGCAGGCTTTGCTTGTCTTGGGTGTCAGCTAACATTCCATAGGTGGGGGTTAGTTTTATATCCTGCAATACAAAGTATATTAAATGGCAATTTGGAATTACACTCACACATTTAATATGTCTTCGACACTTTAAATGACTTCTATTCCTATGTTTTTGGTAGAATTGTTTCCTAAAGAAAACTACTTCCTAATTGTTGCCCTGTCAGAATCATGTGCACTCTGTACCATCTTTGGTAGTGGTAGTCTGGTTTGCCTAATTTTGTTAATGTGCTGTGAAAGATCAAAAATTTGAGTATGTGGTATATGTGATACAAAATTGTGAATTGGTGGGACTTAAGTAACACTCTGTCAGCATTTGAAGTTACTGGTACTTAATCCTCTTACAGAAAATTCGCTTCTAAATTTGAAGCTGCCAAGTCCCTGGAATAACTAAAACACAGTACATGGCTTTTTTGGTATGTGTGTTAAGAATTGTGTACAAAGTGAATCATGTGTACTGATCCTCAACACAACCAGTAAAATCTCAAATATTGAAGACAAAAGAAAGAAAGGAAGTTCTGGGAGTACACACTTGTAATCCCAGCACTTGGGAGGCTGAGGCAAGAAAAGAGGGGGCCCCGGGATATAGCTCAGTGGCATAAGCACCTGCCTGGCAAGTGCAAGGTCCTGAGTTCGATCCCTGGTACCGCCAAAAAAGAAGGAGAAGAAGAAGAGAAAAGATTTAAGTCCTCCATGGGTAAATTAGCAACCCCATGTCTCAAAATAAATGAAGAGAGCTGGGAATGTAAATGTAGTTTAGCACAAAGGCTCTGGATTCAATTCATGTACTGCGGAGGAAGGAGAGCATGCTTCCCGTTTACCATGTGTAATGTGAAGAAAACAAGTAATTGATTGTATTTATTTAAAATGTATTTATTTATTTGGTACAGGGTCTCATTACACAGCTCGGACTCATAGTGATCCTCCTGTCTTGGCCTCCCCAGCCCTGGGATTATAGGTGTGTACCACCACACCCAGTTTTGGTGGCTGGCTTGGTGGCACAGCATGTGGTACTGGGGTTCAAACCCAGGTCCTTGTACTTGTCAAACAGGTGCTTAGACCTTTGAGCTATCTCCCCAGCCCTAATTTTTTTTTTTTCAGAATAGGGGGTGCTTGCCAGGGAAGCGCTTATTCTACTGAGCCATCTCCCCAACCCTATTTTTTTTTAATTTTTTTTATTTTTTATTTTTCAACAAATAATACACTGCATAACCCTATTTATTTATTTATTTATGTATTTTATTTTATTGTCTTTTTGAGACAGGGTCTTTCTGTGTAGCTCAGGCTGGCCTTGAGCTCATGTTGTAGCCCAGGCTGGTCTCAAACTTGCAACAGTCCTCCTGCCTCAGCCTCCCAAGTGCTGGGATTACAGGAGTATGCCACCATGCCTGGCAAGTAATTGGTTTTAAAACCAGATGACAGGTAAAAAGTACCTGTCACTTGTGATAAATAAATATTAGCCATTGAGCCAGGGATATAGCTCAGAGGCCCAAGCACCTGCCTGGAAAGCATAGGGTCCTGAGTTTGATTCCCTTACCACAAAAAAAAGTGTAACCTTTCTTTTGCCTACTTGGCAAACACAAGGTACTGAGTTCAATCCTTGGTACCACACACAAAAAAAGTTAGCTATTTCACCTTACCAATATTGTTACCTCCATATAACTTTAGACTTTAGGTCTCTGCAGAGCCTTCGAAACTTATTCACTACTATCACCGTACCTTATCTCTCAAGGCCCAGGTCTTCTGAGTAACAGAAAACCGAGCTTCAAAGAGCCCAAGCTGGCTTGTCTCTGGGGTGCCCATGCCTCGCTTAGGTTTGGCAGCAGGACTCCCAGCTGCTGCCCAGACTCGCTTCAGGTCCAGATGAATAACAGTGAGTCACCGGCTGTATATTTGCATGGTTTTAATCATTAGCCTGGAACACACGCAGGACCTTTCTCTGACGTTGCATTCTTCATAGGGAGAATTAGCACTTGGAGGCTTTACACTCGCAGACTGTTAGACCATTCCGTAGCTGCTAATATATTTCAAAAGAGGAGCAGTAACAGAGCACAGCAGCAGATCCAGCCCTCTGCTCCATGAGCAGCCTCCCAGGCAGCACACCCCAGAGGGGTGGCTGAGGAAAGCTGAGCGAAGGAGCTCGGTGCAGAGGTGTGAGCAGGGCTGTGGGAACAAAGCAGCTTCCCTCCGGGACCTAGCAGCAGTGGGGTGCCGCTGCCCCGCCAGGCCCCGAGGGAGCCCAAGGACAGCTGTCTGGGAACTTCAATCAAAGATCTCTGGTCTCTGCTAGAGGAGGGCAGAGCAGAAACAGGGTTGGGGAGGGGACCTGAAGGGACAGGCAGGGACAGGTGCCAGCTGAGCCCTCAGGGCCACACGCACTGCAGGGCCTCCGATAGCCTAGCCTCCCAGGATGGCTTTGCTGGCTACTGCCTGCTCCCCTCAATCTACCGCCTTCACCCCTTTCAAGGGCTCCCGTTCGCTGGCATTCAGCTTCCCCTCATCAGGGTCATCGCACCCTTCACCCATGCAAAGCTTTAACTGAAAAACCAGGCAATTAGGAGCACAGAAAAACAACTTGTGTGTTCTCAGCCAGGGACAATTCTGCCCCCCCCCCGGCATTTGCCTATATCTGGGGGCATTTTTGATTGTCATAACTTGGGCTCCCAGGCTCTGTGTAGTACCTAGAAGCCAGGAGCATGGTCAAACGTCCCATGATGCATAGGACAGCATTGAAGGATCATCCAGACAAAATGTCAGTAGTGACCGGTGACATCAACTGAGGAATGGATAAAAAAGGAGGTGGTGTTTTTATACAATGGAGTATACTACTCAGCCATAAAGAAGGATAAACGAGAGACTTTCATAGGTAAATGGATGCAACTGGAGGCCATACTCATAAGCGAAATAAACCAGATGCAAATGTTGACATCATATTGTCTCCCTAGTGTGAGAAACTCAAAGAGTAAATAAGATCCAAAATGTATAATAGATATTGTAAACTGGGAGAAACTGTTCAAAAGGTAAGACAAATTGGTATGGGGAAAGGAAAAAAGCAAGGAAAAAGCAAAATATACATGCACACACACACATACATAATACTACTAATTTCTCTTAGTTCATTGAAAAGAAACTAAGAGAAACTTAGTTCATTGCTTGGACAACTAAATGCTTATATATTGTACTCAGAGTAACTAATTTAGAGATCATAATGTGAACTGTATTAACCATCATTAGTCTCTTATGTTGTTTTGAATTTTCTTTAAAAAAAAATAATGGGCAGGGGATATAGCTCAGTGGTAGAGTTCTTGCCTAGCATGCACAAGGCTCTGAGTTCAATCCCCAGTACTACCAAAAAAAACAGTGATGGGTGAGAAATCCTGCCCTAACTTCTCTGGCCTCCTGTCCTAGGCCTGGCCTCTCTGCCCCTCCCTTAACCTTCACCTAGGAGCTTCCTTGCACCCTCTTGGTTCCAGCCTCTCAGCTCTGCCTACTTCGGGTTCCCTCTCAGTGGTACCCCTGCGCCTTGGCCTCTTTGTGGGGTTGGCAGTAGTCGCCCTCCTACATCCCCACCTCACGCCCAGGCTATGGACTTTCACTGCCAAGCTTTTTGTTCTCACCCACCCTCCTCCTTCCTGTCCTAAGTTGATCTTCCCTGAGGACGGATGCAGTTCCCATAATCCCCTCCCACCCCAGATGCCTCCCCATAATAACTTTCTCTCCCTGGTCTACTACTTCTAAACATCACACAAGACACTTTTCTAGAACTAGCCCAGGTCAAGCTTAAAGCTGTGTGTGCTCTTTCCCCAGCTCTGTCCCTGACGTCTCATCTCCCCTTTCTCCTGGAATACTTCACCCCACAAAGCATACTTTTATCTCCTTGAGACCACAGGCCCTGGGAATTGCTGAGCCTGTGCCAGCACAAGCTTCTCTGGCTGAGGAACTCAGGGGCTCTGTCAAAAGTGACAGATCCTGTGGTGCCTGGGAAGAGGGCCAAGGGTGGGGGGAGGCAAGGCTTCAAACAGTGCAGGAAATAACAGTGGCGGAGCCAGAGGGGCTGTTGCTGGCAGCAGGAAGGCCGCAGCCCACGAGGCTGACATTCTTGTCTGTGCTTCCTTCGTGGAGGGAGCACAAACAAGACACTGCCTCACCTTCCGCCTCCCACCCCCACCCTCCTCAGGTTCAGATGGGCAGAGGGAGGGGTTCTGAGACAGAGCCAGCAGAGACCCTGACAGACAGCATTGCTCAGCCGCCATTATTCTCTTCCACCAGGCATTCCTCAAATCCCAGAAGAGCAGCATGAGCTGCCTGCCCAGGGCCTCCTTGCTCCAGGTCCGTGACCTGCCACTGCACCACACCCCTGAGGCCAGGAGCACCAGCAGAACAGGGCTAGGCCAGGACCGGAGTCCAGCCCTCACTGCATCCCCACCAGCTCCGTGATCGGCGGGGCTTGCACCATGAACTCCTCATAGCGATCGAGGAACAGCCAGAAGCGAGCCAGGTAGGAGTCCTCGTTGTAGGGCAGCTGCTTCTCACGGAAGAACTTGGACACCACGGGCTTCACCTTATGGAGATAGATGGAAGGGGGAGGAGGCTATGAGCTGAGCCTGTCACTCACCCATCTTTGTGTTGGGGGCGGGAATTATCTTTCCAGCCCCAGTTCTATCTGTTTTGTCTCAAGATGCTGGGGTGCGCTGAGGGGCTGAGGTACTGAGGAACTCCTGCCTCCCCCAACCCTACTGCAGGCAAGAAAACCAGGGTCTCCCCGCACCCCCATCCCCAGGGCTTCCTGCTGCATGGTAGCTCTGTAGCACAAGGCAATGAAAAGCACAGCCCCCTGTGCCGAGCGTCTACTTCACGTCAAGCACTGTAGATCGATGTATTTCCTTATTTTGTCCTCAAAGTGAGCCCTGCTTCCTTCAGGTTTACAGACAGGGAAGCTGAGGTTCAGAAAACTTGTCCAGAGTCTCTCACCAGTAAGAAACCCAGGGTGCCTAATCTGAAACCTACATCACTGCACGTCCTCCAGATACCCTCCCCATGGCCCCAGGGAGACTGGGACTGGAGAGCCCAGAGTTCTTGCTCCGCCTCTAGCCCAGTCCTTATTTACCTTCAGGCACATGTTGTCCGAGAGTGCAGGGAAGAGGTGGTGCTCCACGTGGCAGCTGATGAGGGAGTGGCCGAACGCCCAGTCCAGCACCGGCAGCCGGGGCAGGTTAAGCACGCCCAGACTCATCATGTGAATCCGCCGGGGCTTCTTGTCCAAGGAGAACATGGGGAGCCCAATGTGCTAGGATGGACACGCGGGTTACCCTGGGGGCTGTGCAGCCCTGGACCTGCGCCCAGCCCCAGGTGTCTTCCCCAAGAAGCAGCCCAGTTGCTTCTCTGGCATCCAAACCCTGCTCCAGCAGGACCTGGTAGAGGATCAGGGGCCGGGGCACCTGGTCTACCTCGGGTGCTGACCCAGTCTGTGTCCTGGGCTGAGCTCTGCCCATCTCTGGGCCTCATTCCCCAGCTGGGCCATCAGGGATGTGGCCTGGGCTCCCTTTGGATTCCCTCAAGGCCCATGATTATCTTCCATTTGTTCTCATGGTGCTAAGCCTCGCCTCATGCTGGAGAGACCCTCCCTGATCTCCCACCACTCAGAATCTTACTTGTCTCTCCAGATCAAGCCTAGCAACCTCTGGTACTTTCTCACTCAAAAAGTAAGTCCAGGGGCCTCTGCCAGGCTCCATCCTGGGTCTAGGGGAGTTGGAAGGGAGCAGAAACTTTCCTCCAAGCTGGATAAGCAGACAGGATGCAGTTATGAGCTTAAGTGATGAATAGCACTGTGCTGAGCGCCAGGCTGGCATACAGGAAGCCCTAACCTGGCGTGCTCACTGACCAGGAGCAGGGGCCACCCCTGTGGGGACAGCGCCAGAGCTGGATGAGAGCTGCTGACTTCCCACGAAGTCCCCTGCCTAGTGCCTGCCTCGTGGCACTGGCTGGGCCCTACTTCACGTGGGCATTGATGCACAGGTGTGAGCATGCCGGCTGGTGCCGAGAAGAATTCAAGGCCTCACCCACAGCCCCAGCTCTCCGTGAGATGACTCAGAGATGCAGCGTGGCCAAGAAGCAGGGGTCCCTCCTGGGTGGCCTCTCTCCCCACAGAGCCCAGGTCCAGCCTGCCGTCGGGCACCAGGGTGGGACACCTCACCTGGAAGATGTTGACATGGATGTAGGGGTGGGCCAGCAGACTTCGGGTGAGCAGCATGCAGGCCAGGGCTGAGCCGGGGCTCCTGAAGCCTGACACGTTGAGGAGCAGCCAGTAGTGGGCATAGAGGCCCAGGGAAATGAGGCCCAGCGTCTGCAGAGCTGATCCCAGCTCTACCTTCCTCAGCCGCTCTGCCAGGGGAGCAAGACTCGGAGTGAGGGGTGGGGCAGGGACCAGCTCTGCAGCCATCCTGACCTGGCTCCCGGGTGGCCAAGGCTGCTGAGGTAGAGTGTGGCATGAGAGGCTCAGTGAATCCACACAACATCCCTGAAAGGCGTGTTCACCCATTGTTTGGATGAGGAAACAGCCACTAAGCAACCCCACCGAGATCACAACCTGCGCCACACCCTGTTGCTGCCACCCTCTGCTACCACTCCGGTGAGGCCATCGGTTACAACACACACTGTGATTTCTGGGAGCTGGGCAAACCTGTGGCAGGCACACGGCAGGGGGCTGTTCGTTATCACTGAAAGCTCTAAAGTCACTGTCCTGAGCATTCTTAAATCTGCGGCCTCATTATGCATTCACACCGTTCTGCAGCAGCAGGTAAAGAGCCTGGGGCTCACCGAGGTCAAGTTACCCCCACACAGTCACCAGCCAGAAGCGCCACAGCCGGACTCGGACCATGTCTAGCCATGTGAGGAAGTCTCTGTTGGGCTTAGCTCCAGGCTCCTGGCTTCTACCCGGCACCCTACCCCACCTCCACCTCCCACGTGGCCTTTATGAAGCTATGAGAAGGCAGGAGGGGCTGGGAGCAGGATTTTGTAGGATCCTCAGACTCGGTAAGTGGCAGTACTCACCAAGAGCCACCAGAGGGGTTATAATGGGGACTAAGCAGGGTGCAAGGAACATGTAGATGTAGCGGTTGAGGCATGGCAGCTTCCACGTGCTCGAGTCCCCCAGCCCCAGCACGTTGGTGTAGCCGTGGTGCATCTTAACGTGGCCATACTTGGCGTACTCTGCAGGGAAGGCTGTGCATACCTGGGGGAGGATTGGAGAGAGCACCAGGCCCAGGTCAGGCACAGCCAAGGATGGCGGGGCCTGGAGAAGCCTCAAGAATGAGCCCACTCTCCTTGAATCCTGCAGCCCAGAACCTTCCTGACCTGCACAGACAGGGAGCAAGACTTTGCAAGGTTTGGTCTGGCTACCTTACAGAGGCAGTCAGACCAAACAACTGTACCCATTTGTCCTAGCTCTGCAAAGCATTAAGGGGATGAGAGGTCAGACCCTGCATTGTCGCTCTTGTCACTGACTACCACCCAGACGACCTCTAAGTCTCTGAAGCTACTGCTGCTGGCAAGGCTGGCAGCCAGTGCGGTTACTTTGTGCATGTTGGAAACCCCTGCACCTTCACCACACCACTTTACGTTCTGAGCCCACAACAGCACAGAAAAGAGTAGGGAGATGGCACGGGGATCACTGGAGAGCACCGCTCATCACAGCGTGGGATGGGGGTGCTGTGAGTGGGGGCTGAGCAAGCTTCTCCCTAGAGGTGACTCTTGTGGCGTGGAGCCTGCATGGGATTTTCTGAAGCTGTTCACGAGGACCTGTGCATTCTGACTCTGACTCCTAGAACAGTCCTTATGAATGCAAATGAGGTGGCACTATGGTGTCTCTTATGCGTGTAAGTATGCCTCTGTGAGCCTCTAACTGAATATTTCATCAAGGCCAGAAGACTTCAGTAATCTTACTGCAGATGCTGCCTGCCTGATTCCAGGAGTGAAGGATTTCCTAATACAGGTCTTTGGGTGCCTAGGTAAGTTTAATTGTTAACCTCATTGGTTTGTTAACTCCCATTGGAGCTGCCCAAGGGACTAGTAAAGCACATTCTGGATATGTCTAGTCTAGAGTCTGGGAGGAGTGACCATGGGGTCTGTGTCTCCTCTCTTGCCTCTGCCTCTCTGCCGCTGTTCCCCTGCTCTGCTTCCCGGCTGCCTGGAACTAAGCCCATCTGTTACCCCACGCCCTACCCCCATGACCCTGCTGCCTTTAAGCCAGCTGACCACAGACCACATCCCCAGAAACTGGGAGCAGAAGCAGACCCTTCCACCTTCAAGTCGTGGCTGTCAGATATTTGGTGCAACAGGAAAGCTGGCCAGTAAGCAAACACAGCAGGACAAGATTTGGACCAGGAGGCCCAAATTCCACCCCAGATAAGGATGACACCCCTGAGATGGTCCAGCCATTGCTCGCAACCCATCGGCCATCTATCCATGGGCAGTGAGAAGTAAGGGTCATTTAACAGTCTTGCTGAAGGGCCAGTGAGATAGCTCAGCAGACTAAGCAAGCGCAGGGGCCAGGGTTTGATCCCTGGCACCACATATTGCCCTGGCCCCACCCCCTGGGTGCACTGAGCCAGCGATGGAGTCCAGGCATGGTGGTGCATGCCTGTAATCCCAGCACTAGGGAGACTAAAAACAGCAGTATCACTACAAGTTCGAGCTGCATAATGAGACCCTGCACACACACACACACACACACACACACACACACACACACACACAGTCTTGCTGAAGAGGATCCCATATCTATACCCAGACAAAGTTCCACAAAATTCACAGCCCTTGGGCTGGGGAGATGGCTCAGTAGGATAAGCGCTTCCCTGGCAAGCGCAAGGGTCTGAGTTCAATCCCCGGTTCTGGAAAAAAAAAAAACAACAAAACTTCACAGCCCCCACTCCTCACTTCCTCCTCTTCTTCTTTTGCAGTACTGGGTATTGAGACCACAGCCTTCACACTGAGCTACATCCTTCTCTCTTTTTATTTTTTGAGACAGGGTTTGACTAAATTGCTAAGTTGCCAGCTGGGATCCAACATGCAATCCTCCTGCTTCAGCCTCCCAGAGTGCCGAGATTATGGGCTGCACCGGCACACGCACCTTGGCGCAGCTTCTTAAGATCCTGTGCCACACTCTGTGCCTGGCAGGCATCACAGCACATCTGAGCCGCCCTTGGGCAGGCTCAGACTCTGATGAGTATCATCCCGACGCTATCTTCAGCTAAATTTCAGGAGCCCCCAGCCTCTCATTTGTTGATTCTTTCTCGCAGTTATTCTTCCACTTTAAGCGTCCTCTGAGTGCCCTGCTGGCACTGGGCCCCATGCTAGGCTTGTGGTAATGCCAGAGACAGGGCCTGGAAGGGGACAGAACCCCTGACAGTACCTGACTGGCTCCTTCTGAACCCACTGCCATCGAATGAGTACTCAATGTCCTGCTCTGTGACTTTTCACTGCCGTCACTCTGCTATTCCAAGAGTGGCTCAAATGTGGCTGTATTCGTGCGGAGCCTGCTGGAGAGCCTGCCTCTCACCCCGAGGACTTGAGCTCTGGAATTTGGTCACCCAGAGGTAGGGTTGCCACATGCAACCAGTGAAAATAAGGATAACCCAGGTAAATCTGACTTCGAGTAAGTAATAGGCATCTGTTACCTTTGGGATATACTTATAAAGAAAATTGCTTACCTGAAAATTCACATTTCTCCAAGCATCCTGTATTTAATCTGGGAACCCTATGGCTGCAGCTGACAATGCCCCACAACCCCCAGCATTCGGAGTCCAGCCAGAAGGGCTGGTTCATCCTGGAGGAGCTGGCAGGGATGGGAGGAACGGGGGCTGGGCACATCACAGCCCAGGGTATCCTCTGTCTGAAGGATGCCGCCCTCGGATGCCCCAACACGGCTTTGTCCTGTCCGTGTCCCTCTCCCCAGGATGGCCTCCCCTTGGCTGTGCCCCCAGCTGGAGCCCCAGCCCCCGCTCTCATGCTTCCCACTCTTCTCCCCTTCTCCCTCAGCTAGATCCCGCCCAGGTGCCCTCCTTCCTTCCTTCCTTCCTCCTCTCCCTCCCCCCTAGCCCCATGGCTCAGCTGCCCGCTGGCCCATTACCTGCCTTATTTGCCCCAAATCCAACAGAGGAACCCAGTCACAACTATCTCTGAATGCACCATAATTTTATTACTATGTTTTTAAATACTGTGTTTACTGTTTAGTTAAACACAACGAAGAGGGAACTGTTAGAGCAAACAGAAAAGACAGCCCCCCATCACTTTCCAAAGAGAAAATGGGGCAGCTGAGGAGCAGCAGAGGAAGAAGACAGGTCCCCGTGCTTTCTAAATTCTGCATTAGAAAAACATTACCTATTTAGAAAGTAAAATGTAAGCTAAGTATGGTGTACACACCTCTTTTTTTTTTTTTTTTTTGCGGAACCAGAGATTGAACTCAGGCCCTCGTGTGCACACTTCTAATCCCAGCATTCAGGAGGCTGAGGCAGGAGGATCACAAGTTTGAAGCCAACCTACACAACCCTATCACAAAATCAAAATCAGAAAAACTACCAGGGTAGACGCTATCTCTGACCACGGTTCAAAGTCCCAGCCCCTCCGCCTGGAACACAGACCTCCTTGCTCCCCTTTCTCCAGGAGCCCTGTTAGATTGCTGAGATCCTAGATTTCTCTGGGTCCCTTGTGTGCTGCGGAGTGTTAAATGAGATGATTCCTTTCCAGGGCATGGTATGCCACCAGCAAGTATCTGCTGGGACCATCAGCGTGCTGCGTGTGTATATGCGTGTGTGTGTGTGTGTGTGTGTGTGTGTGTGTTGCTGCTGGGTATTAAACCTGGGACCGTCTTCCCACTGAGCTACATCTCCAGCATCATTTTTTTTTCTTTTAATTTTGATACAGTGTCACTAAATTGCCCAGGATGGGCTCAAACTTGCAGTCCTCCTGTGTCAGCCTTCTGGACTGCTGTGATTACAGGTATGTGCCACCACATGATTTAGATCTTTATTATGTTGATGTCATGTGTTGGTCTCTTTCCCCACTGGACTCAGCCCTTGGAAACAGAAGGGGTCTTATTCAGCACCCGGTGGCAGGCACATGGCCAGGCTAGAGCAGAAGTTCCACAGTACTGCAAGCATAGCTCTGGCTGCAGGACCAGGTCACAGCCCTGGCCTGGTTCACCCACCTGGACCTGCGAGCCAGTCTCTGCCCCAGAGCACCCAGCACCCTGGGGCTTCCTCCAAGTCTCCTCTGCTGGCTGGATGTCTACTGTCACCCTCACCACAGTCCTCTGAAGTCTCTGCCATGTTTTCCCCAGCCCCTCCCTCAAGGGACTGCTCCTCATACCCACGAGGCCAGTGCAGACTGCTGTGACCGGTCCAGGGCAGTTTCTGTTGCCCCCATCCCTGTCTGCTTAGGGGGCTGTCTGTAAGCCCATCAGAGCCACCTATGGGAGAAGCCGGGATTTTTGATGCCCCCCGCCCCCCCAATGGGAATCAGAATGAGAATCCCTCCCCATGGTTCCCAGGCTTTTAGGTCACACCACAGTTAGGGAAGGGAAAAGCACTGCTTAAAAAATGCATTTTAGCAATGCACGTGGTAAAGTGGCACAGAACACACGTGTGCATGCGCACACATGCCAGCAGTGATCGTTTCCTTGGTTTTCATATCAAATGACATGCACGTAAATATAACTATTGGGGGAAACCAGGTGGACGATCCGCCGGCTATCTTCCGCTCTTGGAAGTTCTGTGAGTCTGTAATTGTTCAAAAACATTAAGTTTTTATACAAACGTATATTTTGTCCTGAAGATCAGTGTTTGCTCCTAAATGAATTTAAGACATTAAAATAATAAATTCCTCTTTTTTTTTTTTTTTTTTCCTGCAGTGCCAGGGATTGAACTCAGGACCCTGTGCTTGCCAGGCAAGTATTTGTTCCACTGAGCTATCTCCCTGACCCAACTCCCATTGAGATCTAGCAGTATAGTGCAGTGGAGCATGTGCTTAGCCTCCATGAGGCCCTGTGTTGTTCAATCCCTAGGGAGGGAGGGAAGGAGGAAGTAAGAGTGGACAGGGGAGGGAAGGGGGGGAGGCGGGAGGGGAAGGGAAAGGGAGGGGGAGGAGAGAGGAAAGGAAAGGAGTCAGTTGATTTTACTCAAACAAGAGCTCTCAGGTTTGGGTGGGACAAGCCCAGAGAAGGTCAAAGAGAGGCCAAGGAGCTAAAGGCTGCACCTGACTTGGGACAGAAGGGGACAAGGCTGGGGGTCCTCAGTAGTCTCCACCCCACCAGAAACTAGGAGGATGGTGACAGGCACTCCTCTGTGTGACAGCTCTTCCTGCAGGGCACCGGCACTGTGCAGGGCTCCCTGAGGACCACTGTGACTCTGCCCCTGTACACAGCACAAAGCCAGCTTCACAAGGCACATCTGTCACTGAGACGCAATACAGAGCTTCGTAACTGGCACAGCCTGTTCCACTCAGGGGAGTGTCGTGATGGGGATCCTATACAGGACAGTCCCCAAAGCCCTCTGTACATGGCGCCCTTTCACGGTGGAGTGAATTCTCCACAGGTGTAAGACTGAAACCACCACAGTGGCCTCTTCCCTCACCTGGCCCCCCACCTTTCAGTGGCCACCTGCACATGGCATCCTTTTCTGGAAGTCCCCAAGGATATGGCTGGGGTGCCAGTGATATAACAGGGACAGGTTGGGCCATGTGCTCTGCTGAGGAAAGCTAGAGAGAAGGCTGCTGCTTGGAGGGATGGAACTTTCTCTCCTGTGCCAACTTCCTTCTCCGAGAGAAGCCTACCTGGTGTGAGAACGGGTACGCGATCTGGATGCAGACCGCAGTGGGGCTCTCCCCGCAACACCACCCTCCTCTCTGTACCTCCTTTCACACCTACTGGGTCAGAAAGGCCCTGGTCCCACCCAGCTTGGAGCCAGTAATCCCTGGGAAATCCCCACAAACATTGCATGCCTAAGGAAGTCGGTGGTACTCAGCTGAGGCTGCAGCATTGGCAAGATCCCGGCAGGAACCCAGGCCTGGGACTGCATGCTCTTGCAGCAGTGGTGTCTCTGAGAGTCCAGGGAGGGGAAGAGCACAAGCCCCACCAAGAGAAGGCAGAAAGGGAGAAAACACCAGCCTGTAGAAGTGAGAAGCGCCGGTCAGGAAGGCCCAGGGCATGCTCAGAGGTCCCAGGCTGCTTGAGACCTTGTCCTGCGTGCCGCCCAACCCAGCCCGCAGCACGCACCCAGCTCAGTGGAACTCAGCAACTTCCCTGTTAACAAACACAAGACAGTAACAGGCAAAACAAATGCTACCACACACGGCTCACCCTGACCTTGCAGTGGGCCGAGCTTTCCCTCCAGAGAGAAAAAGCAAAGCAAACAAGGAGCACCAAGGTCGGATCTATGGCATCTCACGCAAGGCATGCCAGCTGTGTGGGGGGAGGGGATGTCATCCCTCCAGCTGACTCCACAAGAGAACTAACTCTGGATGTTGAATTAAGTACATGCCGGGGGTCAGGGAAGCTGGTGGGGCTGACAGTCCAAAGGCCATGCCCTTGACTTCAGGCCCCTGTCTGGCCCATAATATCAGCAACTTCCTGGAAGGCTGCAGTGGCCTCACGCATGCCCACTGGGGAAGGCGGCTGACCCATCCCCTGCCACATCCCAGGGTTGGGCCTACCACAGAGGTCAGAAAATGGAGAGAGCCTCCCCACCCAGGTACTGGAGAACTCGAGTGACAAATTACTTGTGCCCTGCCCCCCAGGTGGCTGCCGCACCAGCCCCTGTCACAGGATGAGGTGGAAACCAAGCTGCTTCTCTGCTCTGAGGGGCACAGGTCTCCAGGTGATCCTCGGTCACACAGCTTTGTTGTCCCTAATTCCAACTGCAGGGTCAGGGCAGGAAATACTAATGGAAGACATGCTGAGAGCTCAGGCCTGTGCAGAGGTCGAACAGATAAAGAGGCCAGACTGAGGCCACTGGTCTGAGGTGCCTGGGGGCAAGACCACGTACCGTAAGCTGAATTCGGCACCCTGGCTGCTGGTCCCACAGGTCCTGGGGAAGGCTTCTCAGAGGTGGCATCCTCAGCTCCTTGCCACACAGCACCAGGTGTGTACAGCTGGGAGTGTGTGTGTGTGTGTGTGTGCACGTGCGCACCAGCAGGCAACTGCTGTTGGCGTGTGAATGCAAGTGTGCAGCATGTACTAGCTGCTGTGTGTGTGTGTGTGTGTGTGTGTGTGTGTGTGTGTGTGTGCCTCCCCATACATGACAGCACACACAAAGTCTCTTATGTCGGGGCAGCAAGGATCAGGGGTCCCTGTGTGAGCACCAGGGAACTTGATAGAAACGCAGCGGCCAAGGGCCTCTTGTGCAACAAGCCCGGGGCACCAGGTGACTTGGCTGGGCACCCACGTTTAAGATCCACATGGCCATCTGTGTGCAGTTGTCCAGTCGTGTCGTCACTCAGTCCTCAGTTCTGCTCACCCCCAGATGCCTCCAGGCTCCTGGCACTCGGTACAACTTTGAGAATCCAAACAGCTAACCCTTCCCCTTCAGTCCAGCACTGGGACAGTGCCTACACATCAGCACAGCCGGCACTGCCCCTGTCTGTCTTGGCAGGTCACAAACTCAGTGGACCGGCCCACACCTCCAAATCTGCCTGGGGCCACAGCCAGGGGTCCCTGGGAAGGATCCCTGAAGATGGGGAGCCTGCGGGTGGTTCTCCTCCTCTGCCCCTCAGCAGTGTGTGCTGGTGGGAAAGCAGGGGCAGAGGGGAAAGGGAAATACTGGGGCCAAAAACAGGAGGTGAGAAATACTTCTACCGCTCCGCTGATCCATTATAAGATGTGTACATGTATAGTTTTATGAAGTTTTATAAAGTTATGTGGCTTTATGAAAAGTTAATAATTGAGTTCTTAATGAAAAGTTAATAATTGAATTAATTAGTCATGATAACCAGGCCCTGCCAGAAAAAGCCTGTTTTTGTTATAGCCCCACACTTCATTCCTAAGGGGCCTGGGTGGCCAGCGAGGCCCACCCTGGAAAGGAAAAGAGAATGAGTTTAGCAGAGAATCTGAAGAGGCCTTGTGATGGCTTGTGTCCAGCTGTCCCTCCAGATCTTCATACTGTCCTGGGGCCAGGTTCTAGAGTTTGTGATTGATTCATGGTCCAGTGCTGGGATTGGTGGTGAGAGCGTTACACCCAGCCCGGGGCAGCAGCCTGCATACACTAAGGGAGGGACAGAGGCCTGCTCTCTGTGGCGCTCCCCTTTTGCTCTTGTTGCTTTTGCTGTCTTGCACCACCGTGAACGGCTGCCCTCTGCCATGTGCCGCTCTGCCTTGGAGCTGGCTGAGCATGGACTGAAACCTCCACAAACTATAAGCTAAATAAACCTGTCTCCCCTAATTCTGGGTGTCAGGTATTTCATCCCAGCGGAAAGTAACCCAGACAGGCCTGCTGACCAGTCAGGAGAGAAGGGCAGCTCAGCAAGTAAACTCTGCCTTCCTGGCTGGCCCACAGGTGAGAAGCCTGAGCGGAGAAGGGTAGATAAGGGAGGGCAAGGGTCAGGAGGAAGGTTCTTCCTGGAGGCCCAGGGGAGCAGTGCCTTCTCAGGACCACTCAGCCACTGCAAGGCCTCACACAGGCATAAGCTGGGGCTGGGATGGTGAACTCCTCCCCCTTTTTTATTTGTGTTTCACATTTTTAATAAACCCTGATTACAAAACCTCAAGACCTCAATGGTAGCCACGGGCCAAGGCAGAGAGCCAGCCACCAGCCACAGGTATCTCGTAGGAGGAAGAGGCTCTAGTCACACTTGGCCCAGTGTTGCAGAGAGGCGCATGGGCCAGGAGAAAGCAAGGTGGCCAGGCCAAGGCCACCGGCCTAGATAGACACTGGATACCTATCACACAGTTCTCTACCCAAGGGTGCAAACTCCCTCTGAGGAGCTTGGGGAGGCACATAAAAGCACACACGCATGTACACACATGCACACTGTAGTTAGTGCACTCTGCATACGCTCCTGCATTCATATTGCCTGCCCATGTGGACACACCTGTATGTGTACACGGAATAATCACCCCACCCACGTAGTACCCCGGGCTGCCCCCAACACACACGCACACATGCACATCACACTCACCTCTACAAAGAAAAGCGCTAAGATCTTGTTCCAGTATTTGGACTCGGTGAGGGCGTTGTGAGTGGCCAGGTGACTGCCTTTGACGGTGAGTGTGTAGTGGCACACACCCAAGATGGTGATGCCAATGGCAAAGACCAGGACATTCTCAGAACGCAGGCACAGGAACCCTGCAGGAGAGGACAAGGGGACAAAGTCTGTCTCCAGCTCTGAGAGATCTGGACCCAAACAGCCCACCCCAAGATCCCAGGCCAACGTGGGGCCGCCTCAGGCACGGGTGGCAGAGGTCCCTCTGCACCTGATGTAGACGCGGTGGTTCTGTCTACCAGATTTGGGACACAGTAGAGCCCATGGGCTTCCCAGTGAGACTAGTGGTCCTGATTCTGCTCAGTCCTGCCCTTGAGCCCCAACACTGTACAGAGATGAGAGCTGATATTATGGCGATTCCAGACCAGTACAGATCCAGTGGAAAGCCCCACGCCCTCTCCTCCCCTCCACTGCCTCTGGAGTCTCTTCCCTCTTTCCAGGTCACCTCATTCCTCCCCACCTCTCCAGGCCTCCTCAACTTTCCCCTCTGCCACCTTCATGCTATCAGGGCCCAGCTCCTCTGGGAACATGGGGTGAAACACCCCAAACCAGACTTTCAGGTTGGAGATGTGTCCCTCGATCCTTGTGGGACGTCCGCACCCCACCCTCACTCCCCGCTCCCCTCCAGCCAGCAGGACCGCGTCTGTCCCACGCCCCCACCCCGCTTCATCCCACCCCCACCCGCAATCTGTTTGTTCCCCTGTGTTCAGTCCCTGAGTCCCTCACCGGCCGGCACCGCAAGGAGGCTGAGCGTCAGGATGGCGCAGTCCAAGCCGCGGCGCTCCCACCAAGAGCTCGCCCTCACCACGTCCTTCACCAACCCGTCCAGCTCGCCCAGCAGCTCCTCGGCCCTGCCGCCCTCCGGGGGCGGACTCTTCGGCTCCATGGGCTCCCCGCGCGGATCCCCGCTCGCCCGCCTGCTAGCGAGTACCGGAGGACTCCGGTGAGCGTCTGCGGAGCGGGAGAGGCAGGGAGCATAGTCGGGGGCGGGACGGGGCGGAGTCTGCGCCGGGTTGGACTGCGCTGGGCACAGTGGGTGACACGGGTGAAGGTGCGGGCTCCCCTACCCCTCCTGCTGCTGAGCAGGGATCCAGGCTCTGTCCGCCTGCACCCTCCTGGCCCGCCGCACCTGAAAGGCTCCGGAGGAGCCGAGGTGCGGGGGGAGGGGGGAGCGGCTGACGGCGACAGTGGAGCGAGAACCAGCTTAGGGTAGAGGGGACGAGGCTAGAGAGGGGACAGAGACCACCGCGGAGACCTCAGAAGGCCTTCCCTGGCCACCAACCTCAGTGCCCTCTGTCCCCCACCTGGATTTGTTGCGGCGTTATCCCCAGATCTTCTCTTAATATCGTCCACTAGTCCCCTACCGTCCTGCCCACCCTAGACGGAGGAATTCATCCCTGCCTGTGTCCAACAGAGGGACCCTGGGTGTTGCAGGACCTTTCCATTGCCACTTTGGCTCAGGTGGTGTCTTCAGCGCCTGGAGCAGCTGCCGAACACAGATATGGTACTCAGGGAAGTTGAAAGACTGGCTCCTCCTGTGGGATAGGACGCACAGGGTCCCCTCAGAGTGTGGCTTTAGCAGGGGGTGTTGTAGGCAGCTAAGTAAGATAGAAATATTATAGGCAGTCACACAGGGCCAGGCCCTCAAGGAGATAGCACGGAAGACAAGATAGGTTGCAACTATGAGAGAGATGATGCTCCTGCTGCAGGCCAGACCTAGAGACTGAAGATCCAGCAAATGCTGACATCCCCATAGATTAGCCTCCGGGATTGATCATCACCCCGAGGAAGCCAGGAACAGTCACTAATCCTACCACTACCGCTGGCTTCTAGATACACTCTTGTTCTATATCTGTGCCCACTTGCTATGTGACTCGCTTCCCCATTTGGTTGTGGATTTAATCAATTTTACCTGAGCAGTGGTGCTTGTGATCTCATTGGGTGACCCACCTCATGCCCACTCATGTTCTCCACCTTAGACCTGCTTCACCGCATGGTTTTACTCTAAAGTCCCTGAAAGAAACAGCTTCCTGGGGACAACCTGCTTGGGCCTCCCTTCTGTCCCTCTCTAGGACAAGAGCTTTCTTTCCCCAAAAAAACATTCTGCTCTTAACCTCCATTTGTTCTTAAAATTCATTCTTTGGTTTTAGAGAACACAAACTCATCCCAGGTACCTTTCAGGTTGGGAGTTTCCTTTCCCCTATATCACTTGGAGGTCATCCACCAAGATCATTGGATGGAGGTATGAGTTTGCTTTTCTTTCATAGATTCTGGATTGGAACTTGCTTAGGTAACAAATTTTTATGCTTCCAGTGTTGATATGTCTTGGCCCATTGCTCATAATTGTTTATGCTTTGCCTCATACAGCTTTGTCTTATATAATTCTATTAAAATCGCTTACAATTGCTTATGCTTTGTCTCATATGGTTTTGTTCAAATGTTGGTGAAAATATTGGAAAATCCAAGTTAAAACATGGAAATGTAATAAGGTTATGATATTTCTCTAATGGGACATTTTATGGCTGTTTTGTACTTGTATATGTTGCATTTGAACTAGTTGCTAAATGTACTGGTATTCCTTGTTTGACCTTAGACAATAGCACTAGAGAGAGTAATGTTAGTAAGCCTCCTAGTGGACTCTATAAACTTCTATAAAATGGGACTTTTTTTTTTTTTTTTTTTTTTTTTTTGGACTGGGCAAAGTAGCTTTATTAGAGAAAGCCAGGGCTACATAGCATTTAAGAGTTGGCATCAGGGCCCTATTTCTTGCCAAATGTGGGCACAACGTTGATGAAGCGCCGGTTGTACTGCATTTGCTGCTTGGCCTGGCCTGTCTTCTTCTTCTCCTGTTTGGCCACCTTGGGAGTCTGACCAATCATTTTTCCAGCCTGAGCTAGGGAACCGTGGACTTTACCTCCAAGCATGTGACCAGCTAAGGTGGCTTCATCCTCCAACAGTTGGCCTGCCAGGAGAACAACTTGATCTTCCAGTGTGATGCTCTCCAGTGATGTCACATGAGTCTTTATCTGAGCAGCCGTCTCCTGGCTGGTCACTTTGAGAGTATATAGGTCCTGGGCATGGACAAAGAGTTGCATGTTGACAACTAAACAGCTAAGCCAGCCACCACTACTACAACGATAGAGTCCAGAAGGTAGAATGGGACTTTTTGAATGTAGCTCAAACTTAGAAAATATACATGCCTGTATATGAAACATGGAACTCCTTTTGCCAACTAAATGACATTAGATCAGCAATTTTTTTTTGTTGTTGTTGTTATATATTTAGTACAGGGTCCACAGGGTCTCACTACACAGATCAGACTCATAGAGATCCTCCTGTTTTCAGCCTCCCAAGCACTGGGATTACCACCACGTGCACCACCACGCCCAGTCTAAACAATTTGCCTGGACTTTGGACTTTATACCTTTTTTTTGGTGGTACCAGGGATGGAACTCAGGACCTTGCACTTGCCAGGCAAGCACTTATTCCACTGAGCTATCTCCCTGGCTCCCAGCAACCGTTCTTAAAGACTTGGAGGACAGGTTTCACTGGGACAGACTGGCTCTGAGCCCCCTCTACATGCTAAAGGAAATGTTAGGCCTGCTCTGTTTCAGTTTCCTTTCTTTGATTTTACTTCTAATTTTCCTACCTCTTTGTACTTTCCTTTTTTTTTTTTTTAAACATTTATTTATTTATTTATTTAGTGTGTGTGTGTGTGTGTGTGTGTGTGTGTGTGGCCAGCTCAGCCCACCAGGGGGCAGGGTTGGCTGGCAAGTGGTGCTGGGGATTGAACCGCAGTCCCTGTGCTTTGCTTAGCTTAGCTTAGCTTGTTCTAAGTAGGTGCTTTAGACCACTGAGCCATCTCACCAGCCCCTGTACTTTCCTTTTTAGAGGCATGTAAAATTAGGAAAACTCTAGACTGTTCCAACTAAGTGAAGCCCTTAGAAAATGTGCATTTGTTAATGCCAAAGACAGGGAAGTCATTTTAGAAAAAGGACACATACCCCATCTCTGAGTCAGATGAGACAAAATGCACTGTGCCCATCCAGGAGGACACATATAAAGGCCATGTCCCAGCTTAGTGTTCTGGGCAGGTCTCCTTCAGGAGGCTAAACCTGAGACACAGTAGAGAGAACCAGCTTCTAGGTGACACCAGAAGAAGCTGTCTCCAAAAGCAGCACAATTAAGGGACCAAAATGCATTTAGTGTAAGGGAGGATCACCAATCTTTTCTCCTAGGTCTAGTTATCATTCAGGTGTATAAGAGATAAGTTGTGAACTTCAAAGTCTTTACTGTAAAGTGCTAGGTAATCTTATTCAGGCTTTTAACTATCCCTTATAGAACTTGGACAAACAGTGGTTACTCTGCCAGCTAGTAAATGCTCATAGAGCAGCTGCCATTCTTTGAAGCAGAGGACAGGTTTCCCCAGCATTTTTCTGGTGAATCCCCATTGAAGCTAATGGCTGATGGAATGTTGACCAGAGAGACAGCTGGATTCTTTTCTGGAGACTGATCTCTGGTTGTGTAGGCCAATAGAAACTGAGAACAACCGAGGGGTCCTGGCCAGGGTTACTCTCTGGCAAATACCCAAAGTTCCTTGGTGAAAACTGGCTCCTGAACATTGGAAGATCTCCTCTTACCTATTGTACTTTTCTCTCTCTGCTAGTAAACTGGAAGTTCTCCCTAAGCCTTTCAGTAGAACTTAGCCACTCCTTCAGAAACTGGCCTGAGGCAGCTTGCAATAGTTTACGTTCTACAGCATCTATCAGGGCAATGATTTACTTCTGTGCCTTACACGTTAAGTAAGAGTAAGGGATTTTTGCCAGTTGTATTGTGTTTTTACCAACGTGTAAACTGTGATTGCTGGGGCTGGAGGGATGGCTCAGTGGTCTAAAGCACCTACTTAGAACAAGCTTAGCAAAGCATCAGGGACCGCGGTTCAATCCCCCAACACCACATGCCAGCCAGCCCCGCCCCCTGGTGGGCTGAGCTGGCCACACACACACACCACACACGCTCTCTCTCTCTCTTTCTCTCTCTCTCTCTCTCTCTCTCTCTCTCTCTCTCTCTCTCTCTCTCAAAAAAATTAAAAAAAAACTGATTGCTGATCACAAATGCCTCGCCCACCATTAGTGAATGTAAGGGTCCCCCACGTCTGCAAATTGTCAGACGCCATGAATAAAGGAATCTACGTGCCAGTGGGTTATGATTGCTATGCCTCAAAAGGTTCATAAATGTACCTGTTAGCTAATTGCTCAAAAAATTTGTTCTTTCTTAGAAGATCCCAAAACCCAGGTGTTATGGTTTGTGCATAGGTGTCGTCCCGTCCCGGTCCATCCATCTCCCCCCCCCCCCAAAGCATCATGCAGTCATGCAGTCCTGGGGCAGCTTCTGGAGTTTGTGATTGATTATTGTGGATGTGGATGCTGCGCCTGCCCTGGGCCAGGTAATTTGCGTTACAATTTAAGGAGGGAAGCCAGCCATTGTTGCTGCTTCTCCTCCTTTTGCTTCCCTTGCTCTTTGCCACTGCCATGAAAGGTTGCCCTCTGCCATGTGCCCCTCTGCCTTGGAGCCAGCTGAGTATGGACTGAAACCTCCAGTAACTGTGAGCTAAATAAACCTTTCCTTCCTTCATTTTAGGGCGTTGGGTATTTGTCCCAGCAATAAGAGAAGAGTAACCGAAACACCAGGTAATCATGCAGGTAAAATCCATAACAAATATGCTAGATCAAGAATCCTTTTACTGAGATCTACCACAGCTTGTCTAGAGCAGTTATGTGATACGTGTCAAGGCCTTAGCTTTGCTGCTCAATGGGCCCCAAATACCTGACACAAGCTGCAGAAGTTAGAAAGATTTGCAGGAATGAATCTGTCTTAGTTAGAAATTGCTCAGAAAGTGTTTCATAGTAGAAAGGCAGATTGGTAAAATCATGGGTCTTTGCCTCTCAGCTTGAGGGAACCCATGTTGACTGCCAAATATAAGGAAAAAGCCTGTTAGACCTTTGATTGATGCTCATGAGATTTGTCAGTACTTACCCAGCCAGTGACCCCACTTGCCAACTGGAGAGTACTCAGTGTTCTCCCTAGGTCTGGCAATTCATGTGCCCCCAGTAAGAATAGAGTTGGTGAGACATAAAAGGCCTATTTATCTGAACAATACCCAATGGCCATGGAAGATTAGAAAGGGATTAAACCCCACATTTAAGAGATCTCTGCTAATGGACCTACAAAAATTTCTGTTTAGTCTTTTTATAATTACAAACTTTAAAAGGTTGTTACATTCCAGATCCTTCTGCTAATGTCTCAATAGCTGTCCAAAAGATATTACATAAAAAATGAAAAATAAAGATATTAAATAAATGGTATGTGAGATGCGGAGGTCCCCTGGACCCTATCTTTATCATCTTTATGAGAAGTCATTACTCTCTCCTTGGTGAAAATAATTTTTGACGTATTCATAGTTATCCTGTTAATATTTTTAGCCCATGTGTGTTTAATCATTTCTTGGGCTTTGTCTCCTCCATATTTAAAGCTATTCCACCTGCCCAAAATTAAATAATGCCTGGTGTCTATTGAGGGCCTTTAGATAGAACC